TATCCCAAAGGCGACAAAGGTCCACAGGAGACCATACCTGTGACAGGGCCTTGTGAATGTAAGGCTCTTATTCCTATGACTATTAGTATTGTGGGCTCCACACTTCAAAGAGAATGAGAACAGAGTGCTGGCTGGATCAGCAGGAGTGAAACTGGACCAGGTCCTGGGGGTGCACAGAGTGGGCGGGACTGAGCGCTGGCCCCTCCCTCCCAGCCTCAGAGCCCGGCTGACCTGGAACCCACCCCTCCTGCTTGGCCAGCCTTTGAAGCCCAGACCACACAGGCAGGGCTCCCGCACACAGGGCGTCACTGAGCTGAGCGGACTGGTGTGGGGGAGGGCCAGCAGGCTGCCCAGGAAGATCACCCCAGGGCACGTTGGCACAGTGGTGTCCGATGAACCCTAGAGTCTGGGACGCAGCCTTTTTTTTTATCCTCACGCGAGGATATTTTCCCACTGATTTTCAGATAGAGGGGGAAAGAGGGAAGGAGGGAGCGAGCGAGAGAGAAACACCGATGGGAGAGAGACACAGGCACTGGCTGCCTCCTGCACGACCCCAGCTGGGGCCTGGGATCAAACTGCAATCGAGATACGTGCCCTTGTCCGGAATCGAACCTGGGACTCCTTGGTGCATGGACTGGGGCTCTAACCGCCGCGCCACCCCGGCCCGGACACAGTCTTGAACGGGGACTTCTGAGCCGCCCGACAACGGCCGTGAGGTGTGCGTGGGGGGTGGCTGGAGAAAGCCGCAGCCACACTCGGCTCTTTTGCTCTGGTCACGAGACAGGGTGTGGGGAGGAAGGATATCAACCGGCTAAACTTTGCAGGGAGAGGCAGGTCCCCTGCTCCGCTTCCCCCTCTTACCTTGTCCCCTTGGGCTTGTTTCTCGTCGCTGTGCCCCTAACGGTGGCCCGTTTACGCCTGGCAGGGTGGTGCTCCCAGGAGCCAGCACGCTCGGTGTGTTTGAGGATCCCCACAGTCCATTCTGGAGGCTCCTGGTGGACTTGAGCAGTCGGGGCTCCGTCCATGCCGCATTCAAGGGGTGCCCACTAACGAGAAGCCGTGTTTCTAGGAAATGACCTCTCGGTGAAAGCCAGTGACTCAGCTGCTCATGTTGGCAGTCAGGGCTGGTGACTCAGGCAGGCGGGGACGCCGGGGATTTCCTCGGATCACAGCTCAGTGGACGTAGGAGTCCTCGTGGCCCAGCTTGCTGATCCGGAGGACTCAAGTGGGGAGACTGAGTCACCCCTGTGAGGCTTCGAGACATCTCTCTCTATATATATATATACATGTAATATTTTTATCGAAATTTTAGAGAGAGGGGAAGGGAGAGAGAGATAGAAACATCCATGTGAGAGAGAAACATCCATCAGCTGCCTCCTGCACGCCTCCTACTGGGGATGGAGCCCGCAACCCGGGGCTGTGCCCTGACCGGGAATTGAACCGGGACCTCTCTGTCCCTGGGACTATGCTCTATGCACTGAGCCACGCCGGCCGGGCGAGACCCCAGGAGTTTAAACGAAGCACAGACAGGGTCTGATGGCTGGAAGGTTCCCCACTCGTGCTGGCCCCTCCTGCTAAGTTAGATCCGAGAAGGCTTCCCAGACTCAGAGGAGCAGGAGTTTGGCTGGAGGTGCCTTCGTCAGGGCTGTGGTGAGGTCTGGCGGTGGCCCTGTTGCAGCGTGGCCCCCGGGGCGGGGAGTTGCATCGTCTCCTTCCCCAGGGCCTTGGGGAAATCTGCCCACTCCCTCCTCCCCATCAGCGCTTCACGCCCCCGGTGACCTCTCCCTCCATCCTGTCTCCTTCCCTGCAGGCCAGTTGGTCACACAGACCCCTGCACCGGTGGGACCCGGCCGTCTCCCAGGGCTCCCAGGTGTCTTTGGCTGGCACTCCGAGTGAGTGTGCAGGGACGCAGACGTCCTTGACTTGGTCCACTGATCACTCCATCACCTTGTGCTCAGATCTCGCCAGATAGACTCTCAGATGTATGTCTGAGTTTCTGGGAGGCCCCACATCTGTTCACATTCGCACTGCCAGGCTTTGTCGTGGGGCGGTCGTCCGGTGCGGGGGTCAGGGGCAAGGTCCTGGGGGCTGTGAGAGCCGTCCAGTGGAGGGGTCGTCCTGGAGACCGTGCCGCCAGCGCCCCGTCATTGCCCTCGAGTCCCTGTGCCCTCGCCAGCTGACCTTTGTGGCCGACCAGGGCTCTCGGCCTTTCCTGTCCAGCCCTCCTGAGGGCAGCATAGGGCCGCCAGCAGCTGCCGCTCACTGGGGACTCCACCACCCCTCCGCCCTCTGACCCTGCTCTTTGCTCAGGACCCCTGAACTGGAATGAAGTTGTGACGGGCACTTCTCAGACACCAGAGAGGTGTGACTGGACAGCCCCTGGGTCAAAGAGAGTGGCAGCCCCCAACCTCGATTCTTGTCCTTCTCATAGAAAAGAACTTATAGGAGAGACCTTGATTGCACTGGGTAGTATATTCATTAACACACGAGGGCGCGTGAACGTATCAGCACACGAAGGAGTGTGAACATATCAGCACACAAGGGTGAGTGAACGTATCAGCACACGAAGGCGTGTGAACATATCAGCACACGAGGGTGAGTGAACGTATCAGCACACAAAGGCACATGAACGTATTAGCACACGAAGGCGTGTGAACGTGAACATATCAGCACATGAGGGCGAGTGAACATATCAGCACATGAAGGCGCGTGAACGTATCAGCACACGAAGGCGAGTGAACGTATTAGCACATGAAGGCGCGTGAACGTATCAGCACACGAGGGTGAGTGAACGTATTAGCACATGAAGGCGCGTGAACGTATCAGCACACGAGGGCGAGTGAACGTATTAGCACATGAAGGCGCATGAACGTATCAGCACACGAGGGCGTGTGAACGCACACGCATCAATGAAACAGCGAGCAGCCCTATGTGTCCGGCTTGTTCAGCACAGACTGCTCTCTGGGAGCCAGTGGGTGGGCGGTTTCTGCCTTAGGTACCCTTCTGTCGATACGTTTTTTAGAAAGTTCCTCTGTTGTATCTACTGGGACAGGTGAACTCTAAAAGTCTCCCCTTTCCTTGACTGTCGCCTGCCCACAACTGACGGGAGCACCGGGCTTTTTCCTACCCCTCTGTCCTCCTCCCTGCTGTGCTGACAACTTCAGGGTGATCTGCACCAAGTGGTGTCTGATTCTCCCTCCTCCCCGTTCCCCTCCCCTCCTCCCCGCCTCCCTCCCCCTCCCCCCGCTCCCCTCCCCCCGCTTCCCTCCCCCTCCTCCCCGCTCCCCTCCCCCTCCTCCCCGCTCCCCTCCCCCTCCTCCCCGCTCCCCTCCCCCTCCTCCCCTGCCTTCTGTGAGGAGAGGTTTCAACCTTGTTCTCAAGGTCAGGCCCTCCGACAAGCAGACTGCAAAGTTCTGGCTTTGTTTCATTTCCTGTCTCGGTTTCCCTATTCCACCTGTCCCAGAATTCCCCCAGCTTTCCATTGTCCCACAGCAAAGGGACAGGCTCTTTATGCCCAGCGCCTCCGGCGTGGCCGCTGAGTAAGAGGTGCGAGGTGGCGGGGCCGCCCTGGACCGGCCTCTCCAGTGACCGCACCGCTCCCGGCCCGTCGCCCTGGAGTTCAGCACCACTGGGCTGTTTCCAGTCTCACGAGTAACGGATAAGTCTGCTCACTGTAAAGGAGCCAAGCAATACTTGCCACCAATCAGAAGTATTTTATACTAATATTTTCTTCAACATTGAATATTGATAACATTTTAAAAATGCCGAGCCCCTCCTGGAATCACCCCTACCGCAGGCGTCTAGGATCACTCAGGCGGTCACGGGGCTGCCCGCCGCCCGCTCCCAGGACGGCAGGGCGTGTCGCTGCCTAAGAACACAGCGCCCTGAATAATTGCACAGCGCAAATGCTATTCGTGTTACGAACGCTGAAAGAACACGTTTGTTCGTCACTGAAATGGGAAAACTTTGCCTGCAGGTGTGGAGCGCGTTCCATCAGAAGCTTGTTCTCGAGAACACAGCTTCTGCCTGCGGAGCGGCATCCCTGCTGCCCCGGGGAGTTTCCCCTGGACGCCGCACCCTGTGCTCGGAGCAGCAGGATCCTCCGCTAGTTAGCATTTCACGGCTTTGTAGCTCAGACAATCCACCCTGTGGGTTCTCCAGAAATGCTACATGGGACTGTGTCCTGAGTGGCGGGTTGATTCCGTGGCGGGCTCTGTGTTTTCCCTATAATCGCCTGACAGGGGAATGCAGCCTCATTCATTCCCTCCCGAGAGGAGGCGCTGCTGCCACATCAGCCCCATCCTTAGAGTATCCGCGTCCCAGGGGACGAGGGGAGGAGCCGCAGACTTTCTGTCCTAATTAATTCCATGAACGATATGGCATGTCTCCCACGCACTGGGCGCTGCCTTAAGTACTGAGCCTTCTCAGAGGAGCAGGAGCCACGCTGCAGACACTGCCTGGGAGCGAAGAGGCCAGGTACCCCGCCCAGTGCCGCTCTGTGACCTGCTACTGCGGTGAGTGGCAGGCGGGGCGGGCACAGGCCCCGCTGGACAGCTCCCGGTGGGAGTCCGGGGAGGATGCTTGGAGGAGGTTGGACTCTGGAAGGATGGGTGGATTTGCCAGGAATGTGAGGAGAGGACACCCTAGACTGAAGGAACCACATGGTCAGCCCCTGGGATGTGAAATACTGTGGTGCTTTTGCGAAACGATGAGTCTTGCCATCTGGCTGGGGTGCTGGGACCGGAGGCCAAGACCAGAGGAGGGGTTCAACCCGTAGAACTCACAGTACCTTCCTGTCACACAGTGGATGAACTGTGGACAAAATAAAACGTTGACGGGGGTTGATGGAGTGATCAGAAAGGGATCTGTGTGATGACCGTCACAATGTAAAGTGGAATAAGATAGAAAGAAATAAAGAACTCGTCCTTAAAGTCCTCAGAATCGGCTTGTCGCTGGAAATAGATCTGTTGAAAAGAGACAAACAAGCCAACCTGGCTGTGATGTTTCCACTCTCTCCCCAGCCGGCCTGCGCGGACGTGGGGACCATGCGGGCCTGGGCACTGTGGGCGCTAACCCTGCACTGCGGACTCAGCCTGGCAGGTAAGTGAGCTGGTGCTGTCCTCTGGGCCATGGGATTCCGTTGCCTTCGTGGGACAGGAATTGTCCCTGGAGAGCAGGGGGTGCCTGGGCTGCGGGCACCGCCAGGGCAGCGGGGTGTGTGGACCCCTTGAGTGTGTGGGCACGTGCACAGGTTGATGTATATTTATGGGTGTGCGGGTTTGGCAAGGTGGCCTGTCATATTTCCAAAGGGAGATCTGACCCCGCACAAGAGGTCCACTGTCTCAGAGTAATGAATGCTTATTTCAACAGTCTCTGTGTTACGTGTAGGAGTTTCACATAAAACCCATAAAAACAAACATGTATACTTTTCACGCGCTTTGCATTAAATGCCAAGAATACGAAGGGACGTGGTGAAAAGGCATGTTTCTGCAGTGGCCCAACTCAAGGCGATGGACCTAAAGTCAGTCTGGCCACTGGCCGGGCTACGCTTCATTTGGTGGCTGTTGTGTGGAAGACGGAGGCGGGGCGGGCTGGGCGGCTTGGCCTGCGGAACTGCGCTCACGGCTCAGAGGCTGAAGTCCAAGGCCAAGGTCGTGCAGGGCGGGTTTCCTCCGACATCGCTCTCCAGCCCAGCTTGCAGATGCCGTCCCTCTGGGAGTCTTCTCCTCTTATCAGGACCCCAGTGGGGGTTAGAGCTGTAACGTGTGCATTTGGGGTTCATAATTCAGTCCATAGCATTTAGCAATCGGGGATCACCAAGAGGGCATTGGTGACTCACAGGGGATGAGGGTGCTAGCCAGACCTGTCGGGACACAGCCTGCCTTGCAGCGCCTCCCCCATCACACCTGTGCCCCCAGGACCTCACGGACCACAGGGGTGGGCAGGCCCCCCCGCCAGCTCAGGCATCGACAGTTACCCCAGTTAAAGTTCTGACTGTGGCGTCATGGTCCCTACTAACTCACCCTCTCCGTCTACTTGTCTTCTCCTACTTTCTCTCTGTCTCCTGCCACCTGCTCCTTACACCGTCTCCTGCAGAGCAGGCTCCAGCTCGCACCCGACTTCCCTTCCAGAATATTCTTCCCCGGCTTCTGCTCAGACCACTCTTCTAGTCCAAGACACTTTTTATTTTATTTTTTTTTTAAACACAATTTATTGTTATTTTTTCCTTTCTCAATTTTTAGAGAGAGAGGAAGGGAGAGGGTGAGACAGAAACATCGATGAGCTAGAACATTGACTGGCCGCCTCCTGCACGCCCCCCACTGGGGGTTTGGCCCACAACCTGGGCCTGTGCCCTGACTGGGAATCGAACCCGTGACCTCCTGAGCCACACCAGCCAGGCTCAAGACACTTTTTAAAACACTAACTTTGCAATGGCACCAAAGTGATATGAACATGGGGGAAGAAGGGAGATTGAGAACATCTTTTTAGTTTTGAAAAGTTTGCCTGCAGACTGAAGGGTCACAGGTTCGATTCCTGGTCAAGGGCATGTATATATACCTGGGTTGTAGGTTTGATCCCCAGTCCCAGTCGGGGTCATTTGGGAGGCAACTACTGGATGTGTCTGTCTCACATCGATGCTTCTCTCCCCCTCCCTCTCTCTCTTTCACCCTCTAAAAATCAATGGAAACAATATCCTCAGGTGAGGATTAACCCCCCCCCCAAAAAAACAAAAGTTTTCCTCTTGCATATAGGAAATTCTCCGATAAGCAAGAATATTCTCCCAGTCTTTTTTCAAGAAAAGTTGATGAACATTTCTTTTTATTTCTACAAATAGGGGTAATAGTTATTTCTAGAAATGTAGGAATATAATCATGGGATTGTGTTTGAAGATGTAGGGGAAGGTGAGATGTGTGTGAATGGTAAATCCAGCTTTTAGCTGTCAATTTTTAGAAAAACCTGTTTTTGAATCATTCTAGATGTCTCAAAGCCCTGTGAAGCTAGTACAGAGGGTCCCCACGGACGCTCGTCCGGGCTCCCCACGTCGGCAGCCAACAGCGTGTCGGCCCAAACTGAAGCAGGCACTGACGGAGACATTCCAGGGGTGAACTGGGTTCCTTCCACTCGTTTTCCCATCGGTGCCTTCTTAGCGTTTCCTTGTCTCGTGACCTCTGCAGTCTTGAGTAGCCAGTACTCCTGGACTTCGGTAGAACCGTCACAGAGCTAGGGTGCCCTTCAGGGCCCATCACAATTTTACACGTGTCTGGGACAGTCTTCTCTGTAGAGCTGACACGCTAACGACAGGTCAGTCTGACGAGGCTTGACGGAGGCAGCCCAGTCGCCGTGCGGGGCCCCCAGCCACCGCGGCTGTGCTTCATGGGGTGCGGACGGGTCCCAGGGCAGGGCCCCCCAGGTGACGGGGGCTGAGACGGTGACCGCAAGGGGAGCGCGGCGTAGACACCAAGCCTGGCGTTGTCTGCTCGGCTGGTTCCTTTTCACCCGCCCCCGCCCGATTGGTAGTAACACGCGTTTAAAATGCTGAAGGAGAACGTCGTGCGGACACAGGAGCGGCGGGCGATGTGTCAGGGCGGATCCCGGCCGGTCTCAGAGGCCTGGCTTTGCAGAGCCGCCAGCGCTGAGCCAGGTGACACATGCCCACCGCAGCGAGCGGGCGCCAGGCCGATGGAGCCCCCTCCCCCCCGGGATCTCTAGGCAGGCGGGACCCCGGACAGGCTCCTTCCTCTCACCAGCCAGAGCAGCTTCAAGGGGGCGAGGGGCCGAAATCTGCCCCGTGCGGGGGGGAGGTGCTGAAGAAACAGCGCTGGGCCCTCCTGACTATCACAGGCCCCCTCCACGCTCCGGGTGGGGCCAGAATGCGCCCGGAACATGCCGCTGGGACAGAAACACGGCTGGACCGGGAGGCAAGGAACACCAGTAGACGCAGAAAGGAGGTCTTCCTGCAGCTTCCCTGGTCTGATTAGGGGCAGAACTTTCTGGAAACTCATGACTGCCACAGATCCTCTCTCCTGGGGCAGCTTCGTGGCCTCCAGGAAGCAGAGAGTTGGTGCCGGGAGGGACCTCACTGTATGAGGCCCCTCGCAGTCCCCGCCCCTGATGCCACCGTGGGAGGCTGACGTCCTTCCCCCTGGCCTCGTGCCCTCTCGGCTAAGATGCTGCACAAGCCCACGTTCTAGCCACATCTTGGTTCCTCTTCGTTCCGGTTTCTCCTGCTCATGGGACGTGCTCTGCGCGTGTGAACAGACGGCTTCTCCTGTGACCCTTCCCTTCAGTCCAATCTAGGAGGCCCCAGCCGGAGAACCTAGGGGGGCAGAGGACCAGGCATCGTTCCCTCCCCGACACCCACGTCAAGTGGCCTCCGGGAGACTATTGCTCTCGTCATGTGCCCAGAGGTCAGGGCAAGACAAATGTCACTTCTTAAAAAAGCTGAGCTAGGCCCTGGCCGGGTTTGCTCAGCGGTTAGAGCATCGGCCTGCGGTCCAGAGAGACCCGGGTTCGGTTCCTGCTAAGGGGTTGCAGTTTTTCCCCGGCCCTGGTTGGGTTGTGTGGGTGGCGACCACTCAATGTGTCCCTTTCACATCGATGCTTCTCTCCCTCTCTCCCTCCACTCTATCTCAACAAAAACACAGAAAAATGTCCTCAGGTGAGGATGATAAAAGCTCATTTGGAACCTCTTTCTCTTCTCCCGGTACCTGGTGATACGTATGGTTCTGGGACCCAGATGTTTGACTGCGATCTGGCTCGTGGCTTTTATGTATATTAACCCAAGCTTCGGAGGGAGCGAGGGAGAGGTGTTCGAGAAGAGCAGGAAAGTACAGGCACTGGGGTTTGACGGGGGTGCACAGGGGTTTGACGGGGGTGCACTGGGGTTTGACAGGAATTTGACGTGGGTACACTGGGGAGAGAGGGGGAGAGAGAGAAACATTGTGAGAGAGACATCAATTGGTTGCCTCCTGCATGACCCCCACCAGGGCTGGGGATCAAACCTGCAACCCAGGTACGTGCCCTTGACTGGGAATCAAACCCATGGTCCTTCTGTCCGAGGGCCAACGCTCTAACTACTGAGCCAAACCCGCCAGGGCTAGCTGACCAGTTTCAAAAGTCTCCTCCCCCCTGGGAAGCCAGGCAGGGTTGAGGAGGGGGAGGGGGGGTAGCATTTACACTGGTTAACCTTGTCTTGGTTCTTCTGGGTTATGGACACTGGTTAACCTTGTCTTGGTTCTTCTGGGTTATGGACACTGGTTAACCTTGTCTTGGTTCTTCTGGGTTATGGACACTGGTTAACCTTGTCTTGGTTCTTCTGGGTTATGGACACTGGTTAACCTTGTCTTGGTTCTTCCGGGTTATGGAGTCTTCCCACTCACTCAGTCTCTGTGGGTAAATGCCCGCTGCTCCCCCCCCCCCTCACCTCTCAAGCTGGTGCCTGGGTATCGAGCAGGGTTTGTGTGAATCCAGAGCCTGGCGTGGGCTCCTGAATGTATGTGAGGAGGCCCCGGGCGCCCTCTGCCGTCTCTGACTCCCCGCTGTGGTCCGAGCGTCCCCCTCTGCCTGCTGAGGGGCACTGGCTGCGCCTGGCTTTGGGGTGTCACCCTGGCAGCTGCTCCGCAAGCCGAGGCCCCGGCGGGGCCTGTGGGCTGAAGTCTCTGTGCACAGTGTCCGCCTGGACAGCCCCACCTCCCCACGCCCGCTGGAGGCCCGGGAGGGTTCTGGGTCCCGCACGCTGACTCGCCTGCATGGAGCTGCGCAGCCCACCGCTGCCAGGACCTCTGTGCGCGCTGGGGAGGGTGGACCCCGAGCTCCCCTGGACCACAGCCCGTAGCTTTCCCAGGCTGCACCTGGAGGGGCGGCCACCAGCCCAGGGGCCCGGATCACCGCCCCACCTGCGGTGCCTACTGCTCCCAGAAGGCTGATCCGAGCTCTCTGCTGGGCCTCACTCATCCCTGGCCCCCCGCCCCACACCCCACTTGCTGGAAGTGATGGGCTTTTCCCTCCTGGGCCGTGGGACCTCCTCCTGGGAACATAGCGCTTTGCTCTGACAGTAAAGGTACCTGAAGAAGTTGCCTTCTTCTCTCCAAGATGCCTGCGTCTTAGGGCTGTGGACTTACCGAAGCTCATAAAGGAGTTAGGCTGAGCCCAGAGCAGAAACTGCCCTTGGTTTAAAAGGCCCCCGTCCTGAGCTGTGATTTCCCTGACTGTCCTGAAATGACCCCTGTAAACACGGATAAGATACACGGGGTTCGCGAGGACCCCTCAGAAACTGACGTGACGTTATCAAAATATTCGTGACGGAGTAATGTATGCGCTTCTTCACGAACACATCAAATAAGAAGACCTAACGATGGCATTCATTTCACGATAGCGACAGTAGTATTTGATATTTCAAGGTGTCTGTGACAACTGACGTGTAATATGAAAATGACTGACTTTTAATGGTGACAAAGACACAAGTAACGACGTCACTGTAAGTCGCTGACCACCTTCATGGTGGAAGAAAGGTGTGCATTTCAACAATAGGTTCGTGAAAGACGAAGATGAAAATGTCTCCTTGCTTAAGTTCACGCACCCCGAGTTCTGCCCCGACTTCTGCAGGGTCAGACCCTGTGCGAACGGTGGTGCCTGCCCTCCCTGGACGGGTGATGCTCCTGGGTGGGAGCAGCAGGAGCAAGGTTGTAAGATGTGAACATACAGCTGCAGACATCCCAGAAGTGTTCCCTGCTATACCACCTCCTGGGGAGAGGACTGTATAGAAGGTGAAGTGTGGACATAGCTCAACATTTTAATCTCTCTCTTCCCACAGGGGTTCCATCACTTAATGCTTTACTTTGCTGGTGTTTTATTTTATTTTTTTCTTTATTGGTTTTTAGAGAGAGGGAGAGATAGAAACATGGATGAGAGAGAACATCGACTGGCCGCCTCCTGCACGCCCCCCACTGGGGATCGGGCCCACAACTTGGGCATGTGCCCTGACCAGGAATCGAACTGGAGACCTCTTGGTGCAGGGTCGACGCTCAACCACTGAGCCTCACCAGCCAGGTGCTGGTGTTTGAACATCATTTTTGATTCTCAAATGCTGCATTTGAGTAAGAATGCAAAAGTGTTTTTTAAAAAGTAGAGATCTAGAAGTCACGGTGTGTGTGCGTGTCTCTTTTTTCCAGTTCTGCCAGCTAAGCCCGAGAACATTTCTTGCAACTTCTACTATAAGAAAAACTTCACTTGCACCTGGAGTCCGGAGAAGGAAGCCAATCGTACATGGTACACAGTCTGGAGAACGTAGTAAGTACAGGAGCCACGCGGTCAGTGGAGAGGGGAGGGGCCGAGGCTGGGAAGTCAGTGTGTTCTCAGTTTCAGCTGCTGGGGGACCGCTGTTGCCTCCAGTGGCTGCTCACAGCCCAGCTGAGGGGGTCAGAAGCTGTGGGGCGGGGGTGGGGGAGCCGGGGCTGTGGTCTGGCTGACAGCCGTCTCCGGGCACACGCACAGTGGACAGATCTGTCTGCTCCTGCAGTCATCCACCTTCCTCCTCCTGGGACGTGTTGTGACACCTCATCCTTCATGGATGCAGGTATGATGGGAGGGCACTGTCTGCCCCAGGTTCGCTGTGTGGCCCGCCCTCAGTAATCCGCCAGGACAGTGGGTTCCAGGTGTTCTCTGCCTCAGGCTGCCCTTTTTATTCAAATTTGGCCAGAATAAAAGTTATAAAGATAGTATTATAATTCCAGCCCAAACGCAGGTGTTCAGTGAGCGTGTGCAGGGGTGTCTGGAGTGCTGGAAGGGCCCGTGAGCTCCATGGCACCTTCCTGTCGCCCGGGAGCCTGGAGGCCCGAGTTGGCACCTGCCGCCACCAGCGTCCGGATTCTCCATTCAGAACGAGAATCTGTGGCTCCAGGTTTTTGTTTTGTTTTACAATAGATGGTCTCGTGTATACTCTTCTTTTCACGGTGGAGAGGGGGGTCCACCCCTGTCTCACAGGGGAGAGGGCGGAGAGGGGGTCCACCCCTGTCTTGCTGGGGAGAAGGCAGAGAGGGGGGTCCACCCCTGTCTCGCGGGGGGGAGGGTGGAGAGGGGGGTCCACCCCTGTCTCGCAGGGGGAGGGCATAGAGGGGGTCCACCCATGTCTCACAGGGGAGAGGGCGGAGAGGGGGTCCACCCCTGTCTTGCGGGGGGGAGGGTGGAGAGGGGGGTCCACCTCTGTCTCCCAGGGGGGAGGGCGGAGAGGGGGTCCACCCATGACTCGCAGGGGGGAGGGCGGAGAGGGGATCCACCCATGTCTCGCAGGGGAGAGCGCGGAGAGGGGGTCCACTCATGTCTCGCAGGGGGGAGGGTGGAGAGGGGGGTCCAGCCCTGTCTCGCAAGCGAGAGGGCGGAGAGGGGGTCCTCTCAGGTCTCGCAGGGGGGAGGGTGGAGAGGGGGGTCCACCCCTGTCTCGCAGGGGAGAGGGCGGAGAGGGGGGTCCACCCATGTCTCGCAGGGGAGAGGCCGGGGGCGAACATCTCTCCGGCACTGAGGGGCGGGGTGTGGCAGAGAGGGGGGCACTGACGGGCGGGGTGTGGCAGAGAGGGGTCCGAGCAGGCGGAGAGCAGAAGCTTCCGGCCAGAGGGGTGGGCCTGCCTGAGCCACAGCCCGGTGCCAGGGCAGGAGAGCCGCTGTCGGCCACGGTAAACCAAAGGACCCGTTTTCCACAGAACCTTACTTACAGACACCAAATTCAAATTTCACGCGCGTTTTCACAGGCCTCAAAATATTATCCTTTTTATTTCCCCCTGACATTGAACCGTGTGAAACCTGTCCTTAGCCTGTGGGCCAAGGAGGGACAGGGGTGGGCTGCACTTGACCCTCGAAAGGCCCCAGAGCCACGGTCCCCGAGACTCCCGCCTCCCGTCCGGGCTTGCTGGTCTGGTCCCCCGCGGGGCGGGAGGTGTTAGCAGAAGGCAAACGTGCAGACTTCCCGAGGTTTACTCCCTGTGTCTGTTTCAAGGAGTCATTCCCGCCCCCTCCCTTCCATGGCTTCCTGTGGCTGGTCGTCATCACGTAGAGTTAGGGACCGAGGTGTCCCCAGGCCTTGGCACAGCCCCTCCTGATGGCCTCAGGTTGCTGGGCTCCCCGGGGCTCCCACTGGCCGTACTGCTGTGAGGTTTGCACCAGACTGTCGCCCAGGCCGAATGGAGGGGTCTGCCTGCGGGCCGTCAGCTCCGAGAGCCGAGGGCAGTGGTCCACGCTAGGGGCAGGAATCCCACCGACGCCCAGAAACAGCAGGGACCCACTTTCCTTGGGGCGCAGGAGAGCTAGACGCCTTCTGGAGACAGGGGCGCTGACCGAGGTCTGCAGGGGCTTCCGAGGGGCAGAAAGGGGGGTGGGTTTCTCAAAGTGGATAAACGCACAGACACTCGGCTGTGGCCCTGGAGCCGGTGAGACGGTGACATCATGTCCCCTGCCCCGTGGCCGCCCGGCTCACTGCCCCTGGCAGCCCTGTGCGGGGGACATGCTGCTCTCCTCATGTGAGAGGGCGAGACGAGGCGCGGACGGCACGAGGCTGGCCGAGCACAGGTCAGCAGGGGCAAAGCTGGATGCAAACCCCTCCCTCCGAAGACGGCGCCGCCACCCCACACAGCCCTGCCCTGGACGCCCTTTGACCGCGGCCCTGGAAGGCCCTGGGGCTCTGTCTACTTCCCAAGGTCCGCGCCTCTGTGTGTCCAAGCGCTGCGCCCTGGCCCCCGCCCAGCCAAGGTGGCACCGGGGATGTGCGTGGGCCCCCTTTCTGTCCCAGACACCCCCACCTCCTGCAGGACCCCAGCCTCGCGACCGGCCACGCCCACCCCTGCCAGTGTGCGCGTGTCCATGAAGTGACAGCTCGGGAGGATTCACACGCTCTAGGGAACAATCTTAATGCGTTTTCTGAAAATAATATACACCCAGTGGTAAAACGTTCAACCTGAAACATATAGAGAATTTAAAAATCACCCCAAATCCCACATCCCCAAAGGTAACAACTTGAACATCTTGATGAAGACCTTTCCAGATACCTCTTAGAATAGGTATGTAAATTCATACGCTCTGTAGGTGTCACTGTTCCCGACATAACATGCTTCCTTCTCTTTCTCCCCAAAGACAGAAATAGGCGCCTTTCCATATTAATAAGTATAGATGCACTAAAAACCATCATTTTAAATTCTATTTATGTGTCAACAGTAATTTACTTAACAAGTCCTCTTTGATTTTTTTCTATTAAAAACAAGTCCTCAAGGTTAGAATGTGGGATTCTAGGGCCCTATGCATTGCTTGTTACCAGTAGGAAACGCGTTATAAGTGTAGCTTCTGATGGACTGGTAGGTGCAAGGGGGTCTCCGGGGTTCACAGCACCCCAGGCAGCCGGGATCTGATCTCTCCATGGAGGTGAGGAGGGGTTTGGAAAGACGGGTAACGGATTCGGGTCTATACAGTTCTCGAGAGAAACCCAGCCCGAACCCAACAAATACATGCTGAGTACATGAAGTGTGGTTGTTTCCGAACTGCCGAACCCAACTCACGCTGAATCGTTCTTTCCTTCAAAGCTTGAATGGAAGGGCAAGTGATATTTGTACCACCTCGAGTGAGAATGGCACCTGGTGCTCCTTCCTCTCTCCAAAATCTCCAATAACCCCCCCAGACAATTACACCATCCAAGTGGAGGCTCGGAACGAGGGTGGAGCCGTGGTATCTGACCTAACACATTGGTACTTAAATGCCGTAGGTAAGTGTTACTGGATATCTATATCCTTTTTTTCTGAAAATATACCCTCCCCCTTTTAAAATCCTCAACCAAGGACATTTTCCCATTTATCTTCAGATTGAGTCTGAGGGGGGAGGGGAGAGAGAGAGAGAGAGAGAGACATTGAAATGAGAGAAAGGCATTGATGGGCTGCCTCCTGCACGACCCTGACCAGGGCCAGGGACTGAATCACAACCGAGGTATGTGCCCTTGACCAGCATTGAACTTGAGACTCTTTGGTCTGCAGGCTGACACTCCAACTGCCAAACTGGCCAGGGCCAACTCGTATTCTTAATTTCTTCACCTTTTTGGCCCATATCCTCAAACCACCCCCCCCCCCAATCTGGCACCCTACAAAAAGTTCTCTGTATCTATGAGTCTCTCTCTGTTCTGCTTGTTTTTTATATGTAGATTCAATTGTTGATAGATGGGTATTTATTGCCATTTTATTGTTCATATATTTCTTGTTCTTCTTCAAGAAGACCCTTTAACATTTTATATAACACTGGTTTGGTGGTGATGAACTCCTTTGGCTTTTTCGTATCTGGTAAAATCTTTATAATGTCCATCGATTCTAAATGACAGCTTTGCAGGAGAGAGTAATCTTGGTTGTAGGTCTTTGCTTTTCATCATCTTGAGTATCTTTTGCCACTCCCTTCTGGCCTGCAAAGTTTCTTCTGAGAAATCAGCCGACAGTCTTATGGGAGCTCCTTTGTAGGTTAATAACTGCTTTTTCCTTGCTGCTTTTAAGATTCTCTCTTTGTCTTTAATTGTTTGCATTTTGGTGATGATATATCTTGGTGTGGGCCTCTTTGGGTTCTTCTTGTTTGGGACTCTCTGTGCTTCCTGGAACTTGTATGTCTGTTTCCTTCACCAAATGAGGGACGTTTTCTGTCATTATTTTTTCAAATAGGTTTTAAATTTCTTCCTCTTTCTCTTCTCCTTCTGGCACCCCCATGATGTGAATGTTGGTGTGCTTGAAGTTGTCCCAGAGGCTCCTTATACTACCCTCATTTTTTGTTTTTGTTTTTGTTTTCTTTTTGCTGTTCTGATTGGGTGATTTTTACTACCTTATATTCCAATTTGATGATTTGTTTCTTGGCTTCACTTTCTCTACTATTGATTTCCTGCAAATTATTCTTCATTTCAGTAATGCATCCTTCATTTCTCTGGGCCACAGGCTGATGCTCTAACCGCTGAGAAAAACTGCCCAGGGCCATCCTTCATTTCTGACTGGTCCTTTTAATGCTCCTGAGGTCCTCACTAAGTTCTTTGAAGTTCTCACTAAGTTTCTTGAAATTCTCACTAAGCTCCTTGAACATCCTTATGACCAGTGTTTTGAACTCTGCATCTGTTAGATTGCTTATTTCTGTTTTGTTTAGTTCTTTTGTTCTGTTCTTTCATTTGGGACATGTTTCTTTGTCTCCTTATTTTGGCTGCCTCCTTGTGTTTGTTTCTATGTATTAGTTAGAGTTGCTATGTCTCCTGGGCTTTCTAGGGTGGCCTATTGCAGTAGGTGTCCTGTAGGGTCCAGTGGCACAGCCTCTCTGATTACCCAGCTGGGCCCTCGAGGTACACCCCTCGTGTGGACTGTCCACCCTTCTGTGGTAACTGAGCGTTGATTGCTGTTGGTATATCAATGGGAGGGATTTACTCAGGCTGATCAGCTGCAAGGACCGGCTGTGCCCACTGACCACTGGCCTCTGACTCCCTTGGAGGGTCAGCTGTGCAGGGCCCACCACACAGCAAGACTTACTTCAGCAGGGTTCTGGTACCCCTGAGTCCACTCCGTGAGTGTGTCACTTGTAGAGGTGGTTGGGTGGTGATGCTTTGATGTGGTCTGAAGCTGTCCACTGGGTGTGCTGGCTCTGGCGCAAGGTCAGCCAGTTCCTGTGTGCTGCCTGGGGCCACCAGGCATAAGCTACAAAGTGATCTGCAGATGGTGCTGCTTGTGCTGGGCTTGGAGGTGCCCGGGCAAAGCCACGTTGTGAACCAAGGCTGCTGCTTCTAGTGCCAGGCCTGGGCCACTTGCAAGAGGTGTGGGGCTCGCTGAGGCCAGATGCTGCTTGTTTGAGAGAATTTAGGAAAATCTGAAGTAGGAGCTAAGACAGACCAATCCTATGGTAAAGCCACTGGAAACAGCTTGGGTGGGCCCAAAAGTTAGGTGGTGCGGGGCTCAGGGAATCACCAGGGCGGGGCAAACAGTGTGAGTCAGGTTGTTGGAGTCCCAGATATGGCGGCCATCTGCTGTACCCGTGGGGGAAGGGCTCACCGAAGGAACAAAGGCCGCCACCAGCACATCTGTCCAGGAGAAAGCTGCCCCTCCAGCCCTCACCCGATGCCAAACAGCTCAGTTCTTCCCTGTGTGTCTCTGGTGCCTTTCAAGCTGCCTCCCCCACGCTGGAGAGTATTGATGTGGCCTCTTCTCTAATCTCGTACTTGTAGGACTTGCATTCAGCTTGATTTCAGATGGCTCTGAGTGATGGTTGTTCTGTAGCTTAGTTGTAATTTCAACGTGGTTGTGGGAGGAGGCGATACTGTGTTTACCTACACGACATCTTGACCGGAAGTGCTCAAGACCATTGTTTTAAATGTTTTGATGTAGCCCGGCCAGTGTGGCTCAGTGGTTGAGCGTCGACCCTGCACCAAGAGGTTGCCGGTTGGATCCCTGGTCAGGGCACACGCCCAGGTTGTGGGCCCGATCCCCAGTGGGGGGCGTGCAGGAGGCGGCCAATCAATGTTCTCTCTCATCGATGTTTCTATCCCTCTCTCCCTCTCCTTTGCTCTCTTTCTAAAATCAATAAAGAAAAAGAAATAAAAAGATTTTGTCTAGGAAGCCTGGTGTCCGGGCACCCTCAAGGACAGTTTCTGCTCCTGTATTTTATTTCTCCGAATGGGCCATGTTTTCCTGTGTCTTTGGATGCCTTGGGATTTGTTTGTTGAAACCAGGCATTTGAAAACGGTCACTTTGCCTGGTCTCAGCAGGATGGTGGCCTCCGAGTCTAGGGATCAGCCCAGGTGAGAGCTTCAGGCCTCCGGTCTGGAGCGCTTCTTGCACGCTGCTGGCCCAGGTTCTCTGTGCACACAGGACTGCAGAAGGCCCATTTCTGCACCCACAGCCTCCTGCCCTGGGCTCCGGAGGGTCCCAGGCTCCCTGCAGTTTTCCGGAGCCGTGGCTCTGCTTTCCCGCAGCCCTGGCCTCAGACAAGTAGAGGCCACTCTCGGTCTTTCCCCAGGAGGTCAGAATTGGTAACGGAGGTCTGCTCTGCTCTCCCTGGCTTGAGGACGGGGAGTAGGAATGGGTTTCTGCCTCCTAGACCCAGACCACCCTCGTGCTGGGGCGGGGAGGACGGGGGCAAGCGCGACCTCTCCCGCCTCTTCGAGGGTGTGTTCCCTTGGCCACTGCGAACCACGGCTCCGACTGGTTTCCAGAGCTCCAGCCAGACTGGGAGAGGCGGCTTCTGTGTTTTTGTTTTATGTTTCTAGGGCGGGACAAAAACGCGGACTTTTTAGTCCATCACTTCGCTGGCATCACTCAGTACACACCGGTTCTTAATGAGCAGTTCTGAGGGCCCTCTTTAATCAGGGCGAGCGTGAGTCACGTGTCCTCGGGGACGTCATTGTGGGTGAAAGAGCACCACAGTAGGGTGTGTGCCCACGCTGCCTGGAGGTGGTCTAAGTTAACGAGGAAGGGCAGGAAGGCTGGGACGAATGAATCCCAGCTTGGCTTCGCGTGAGAAAGTGATTTAGCTTCAAAAATCTCAGTTTTACCTTCTTACAAATGAGTGTAACACATGTTAGGTGGATGAAAGGAATCAATACAATGGTTCTTCTGAAAAATACTCATCGATTGCTCAATAAAAATCAATCTTATAAAGAGTGCTTCGTCTATCTATTGTTTATAGCTCCATCCACCCTATGGCCACACAGATGGATGACCACCCTTTAGTCCAGGAATAATAAGTACAGACTATTTTTCGAGAAGCTACAAAGAGCTTTCTGAATATGTTTATCCAATGTCTTTATTTTATTTATTTATTTTTAATCTTTATTGTTGAATGTATTACAGATGTTCCTCATTTTTCCCCCATTGACCCCCTCCTCCCCACTCCTGCCCCCCTCCTGCCTTTTCCCACACTGTTGTCTGTGTTCATTGGCTAGGCATATATGCATATAAGTTCTTTGGTTTATTTCTTCTCACTTTCCAACCCCCCCTTCCCTTTGAGATTTGTCAGTCTAGCAACCAATTTGTACTTCTTAATCCCTTCACCTTTTTCACCCATTCCCCCAACCCACCTCCCATCTGGCAATTAACAAAATGTTCTCTGTATCTATGAGAATGTTTCTGTTCTGCTTGTTCATTTTGTTTATAGACTCAATTGTTGATTCATTGCCATTTTGCTTGTTCATATATTTTATCTTTTTCTTCAAAAAAAAACCCTTCAATATTTCATATAATAATGGTTTGGTGGTGATGAACTCCTTTAGCTTTTCCTTGTCTGGGAAACTCTTTATATGGCCATCGATTCTAAATGACAACTTTGTAGGGTAGAGTAATCTTGCTTTTCATCACTCTGAATATCTCTTGCCACTCCTTTCTGGCCTGCAAAGTTTCTTTTGATAAATCAGCTGACAGCCTTATGGGAACTCCCTTGTAGGTAACTAACTGCTTTTCTCTTGCTGCTTTTAAGATTCACTCTTCATTTTGAATCTTTTGCATTCTGATAATGATGTGTCTTGGTGTGGGCCTCTTGGGGTTCATCTTGTTTGGAACTCTCTGTGCTTCCTGGACTTGTATGTCTGTTTCCTTCACCAAGTTAGGGAAATTTTCTGCTATTATTGTTTCAAATAGGTTTTTGATTTCTTGTTCTCTCTCTTCTCCTTCTGGCACCCCCCAAGCGAATGTTGGCATGCTTGAAGTTGCCCCAGAGGCTCCTTACACTGTCCTCATTCTTTTGGATTCTTTTTTCTGTTTGCTATTCTGATTGGGTGTTTTTTCCAAATCGATGTTTTGCTTCCTGGCTTTACCTACTCTACTATTGAATCTGTGTAAATTATTCTTTATTTCAGTTAGTGCCTTCTTCAATTCTAACTGTGCATCCTTCATTTCTGACTGTGCATCTATGATTTCTGACTGGTCCTTTGTATGCTCTTGAGGCCCTCACTAAGTTCGCTGAGGTTCTCACTAAGTTCGTTGAGCATCCTTATAAGCAGTATTTTGAACTCAGCATCTGTTAGGTTGCTTATCTCCATTTCACTTAGTTCTTTTCCTGGGGCTTTGTTCTGTTCTTTCATTTGGATCCTGTTTCTTTGTCTCTTCATTTTGGCTGCCTCTCTGTGTTTGTTTCTGTGTATTACTTAACGAGAGGTATGGGGCTAGCTGAGACCAGATGCTGCTTGTTTGAAAGAATTTAGGAAAACCTGAAGCAGGCTCTGAGACAGGCCAATCCTATGGTGAAGCAACAGGTAACAGCTTGGGTGGGCCTGAAAGTTGGGGGGGGGGGGCTCAGGGAATCACTAGGGCGGGGCTACCAGTGTGAGCCAGGTTGCTGGAGTCCCAGATATGGCTTCTGTCTGCCGCCCCAGGGCAGGGCTCACCAAAGGGACCAAGGCCTCTGACAGCACGTCTGTCCCAGAGAGAGCCCCCTCTCCAACCCTTGCTCCAATGCCAAACAGCTCAGTTCTTCCCTGTATGTCTCTGGTGCCCCTCGAGCTGGTGCCCCTCGAGCTGCCTCCCCTCCAAGCTTAGAGGGAGAGAGTCCGATAAGTCCGTGCATGGTCCCTTTAGGGAGCTGCCTGGGGCTCCAGCCGCCTCAGCCTCCCTGAGCCTCAGTTCCTGCTGGTTTTCCAGCCAGAAGTTATGGGGATTCTCTTCCTGGCACTGGAACCCTGAGCGGGGCACCTGGTGTGGGACGGGGACCCCTCAGTCCTCAGGGAGGACCTTCCTAGCCAAGGTGTCCTCCTGATTTTTATCCACCTCACGTGGGTGTGGGACCAGCCCGTCCCCTCCGCCCTCCTCCTAGTCTCGATGTGGCTGCTGCTTTAATTCCGTAGTCGTAGGACTTCATTCAGCTGGATTTCAGGCGGTTCTGAAGGATGGTTGTTCTGTAGTTTAGTTGTAACTTTAATGTGGTTGTGGGAGGATGGATAGCGTTTACCTACCCGACACCTTGACTGGAAGTCCTATATTTATTTATTTATTTATTTATTTATTTATTTATTTATTTATTTTTAATCCTCACCCGAGGACATTTTTTGATATTTTATTCAGATAGAGTGGGAGGGAGAGAGAGGAATAGAGAGAGAGAAACATTGAAGTGAGTGGCTGCCACCCGCATGACCAACCAGGGCCGGGGACAAACTGCAACCTTTGTAGTTTGTCCCCGGGGAGGTACGTGCCCTTAGCAGGAACGGAACCCTGGTCTCTCTGGACCGCAGGCCGACCCTCTAACTGCTGAGCCAAACTGGCCAGGGCTACCCAGTGTCTTTAATTCCATGGATCTCAGTAGGGATATTGCTTTTCCAAAGCCCCCAGGAACCGCAGAGATGAGACCGCTGATACCAGGCAGGAGAGTGAGGGTGGGGTTCCCAGGGCGCCGAGGGCGGGGTTCCCAGGGCGCCGAGGGCGGGGTTCCCAGGGCGCCGAGGGTGGGGTTCCCAGGGCGCCAGCAGAAGCTGGAATCAGTGGGCTTTGTTTGAAAGAAAAACAGCGAGGTGTGGAAGGCTCCCTGAAGAAGCTCACACCCTTGCACTTAGTCATTCTGGCCCAAGGGGATTCAAGGAAACCATCAGACCAGACAGAGAGGCAGCTGTCCCCCATCCACGCAGGGGGCCTCCCGAGAGCTCGGTGTTCATGCTGCATTTGTGAGGACACCCAGTTCTGCTCAGGGAGCGTGACCATGAGAAACTGGAAATACTGTGAATGCACAGTGATGGCGACAGGGTCAGATAAACTCTGTCCACAAGGTGGAGCCTCGTGGAGCTTTGAAGGCTCTGAACGCGAGGGGTCTGTGCTGATCCGCGTGGTTCTTGAAAAAGAGAAAGGTTGAGGTAGCACACCATCGATTTTGTTTGAAAAATACGCAAACAATTACATAGCAGAAGTCTGAAAAGACACCAATGTCTTAATCATGGTTATCTCTGGTTGATGGCATTATGGCTAATTTAAAGTTTTTCTTTGTATTTTTCTTTCTTTAAATTCTTTTTTTTTGAAGGAGCCTATGTTACTTAATAACCAGGAAAAAAATACGTATTTTTAAAGAGAGGGATTTTGGGTATGAACGTTTGTAGTGTTTATTCTTCCATCCTGGGGGTGAGGGAGAGAGGCAGGAGGGGGGAGGGGAAGGGAGGAGAGAGGAGAAGAAGGGAGTGGAGGGGAGGAGAGGGGAGGGGAAGGGAGAAGAGGGGAGGGACGTGGAGGGGAGGGGAGGAGGGGGGAGGGAAAGGGAGGGTAGGGTAGGGAGGGGAGCCAGACAGCTCTTTGCGTCTTCTTGCTCCATTCCGCTCCACATACCTGACCTCATCAATAAAAGGCTGATTGCAGAAAAACCATAGAACCCTCCCTCTGCTCTCGGACCGTGTTCCTGCCTGGAGGGAGCAGCCGTCCACACGCCCCCCAAAGCCCCGGCACACAGCCGCACCGCCACTTCCTTCGCAGGCTGGTGGCGTTTCTGGCTTCTGTTCTTCTTTTCTCAATTTTTGGGTGGATGTTATTAGCACTTTCTGATCTTTTTACAAGTATAAATGGTTTTAATTTTCAGTAAGAATCGAACCACCTACGATCATCAGTGTGCAACCGGTTTGGGGCATCAATCGGACGCTTCAGATACGATGGAAAAGGCCCGTGTTGGCCCCCGTCTCGTCCGACTTAAAGTACTTGCTTCGATACCGAACTGTGAACAGTGCCCGCTGGGTAAGTGACGCCATGGTGCCGCGCTGGGAGAGGGCCCGAGGCAGAGAGCTGCCGACAGCTGCTGTTGACCGGGACCACTTTTCTCTTCTGCATTGAAAAGAGAAGCTGGAGAGCAGGGCATCCTTCGCCCGGTGGCCCTCTGGGCTGGGGGCGGGAGGTGTTGAACAGCAGGCACCCTGCATCTAAGCGGGCGGGCAGGTGGCGCGGTCAACAGGGAGACCTTTTCTTTAGCCTTTTGCCCTGGCCTGTGTGTTGGCTGCCAGAGATTCTAGGGCTTGGTTATTTTCTTTTTAATTTTTCAACTTTTATAAAGTTGGGATGTATAATACCCATTTAGAAAACTGAACAAAATATAAGTGTTGCATTTAATAAATGGTCATTGTCAGCTTAATAATATAAGCTCTCTTAATTATTATTAGCTCCCCTTAGAGCTGTTATTCAGATTTTCATGGTAATGACTTCTTTGCTTTTTATTGTGGTTTCAAGCCTGCATCCCTGAACCACATGGTTTGAGACATCGTGTAAATGGAATCCATACATTTGGTACTTAGTTTGCCTTGTTTTCTCATTGTTGTGCTTTTAAGAGTCATTCATGTCATGGAGTGCTGGAGCTGATACTTTTCATTGCTGTGTAGTATTCCGTTGTGTGAGCACAATAGAGTCACGGTTGCACTTTGCATACACCCGACGTTCATGAGGTTGCATAGCTTTTCATGTGTTTATTAGCCATTTGGAGTTATTCTCTGTGAATTCTTTATTTAAAACTTTTACACATTTTTTTTTCTGTTGGGCAGTCTGTCTGATTTTTTAAAAAACATATATTTTTATTGATCTTTTAGAGAGACGAAGGGAGAGAGAGATAGAAACATCAATGTGAGAGAGATACGTTGATTGGCTGCCTCCTGCACGCCCCCTACTGGAGATCGAGCCTGCACCCAGGCATGTGTCCTGACCGGGAATCGAACCAGGACCTCTCAGTCCATGGGATGATGCTCAATCCACTGAGCCACACCGGCCCGGCTCTCTGGTTTTTAAACGGACCTGTAGGCGTTCCCTATATACTGTCTGAGTCTTTTATTTGTTGTGTGTTGCAAACGGCTCTCACTCTGTGGCCAAGACTGTTCACTCTGTGTGGTGACTTTGGATGAACAGACTTCTTAACTTCAGTACCGTCACGTTTTATCAGTCTTTTCCTTTACACTTAGTGCCTTTTGTACCTTCGGAAGTATTCCTTACCTCAAAGGTCAGAAGTTTTCTGCATTTCCTCCAGTGCAGCCTGAAATTATAGCAACTCTGTGGTAAACACCCTCCTTTATTGGCTCTGAGCTACTGGTCAGTTAAACGGGTTGAATCTTCACTACTCCCCCTACGCAAGATTTGCTAACACACCTTCACCACCTTGTCACTGTTGGGTTTTAACCCCAGCCGGGGCGTTTGACCTGCTCCCTTTGAATTTCTTCACGTTGGTTTTTCCCATCATTTCAGCCTGTTCAGTGCCTTCCCCGCCCGAACTTACAGTTAACTTACCTCCTCCTTCCTGACTTTTCAATTACACTTACAGTTGACGTTTTACTTCCTGACGTTCAGTATCTCCAGGCCGGAGAGCACTTCCTTCTGTACCTGTATTTAACCCTCAGCAAGAGCGTGGCTCCATCAGAGCCCTGCGGTGAACCTCGGACCGTCCAGACATCCGCTTCCCACTGGCGAGGACAGTCGTGTCCCCGGCTTCTGAGTGTACCCGAAACCCCCACAGCCTCTCAGCCTACCTTTCCCACCTTGTCCGTGAGGCTATTGCTGGACTCTGGCCTTTGCTAGAGCCCCTGGGTGCCACGTTCGCCGCATCCTGTCCTGGTCTAGAACTTTCGGGAAATTAGCTGCTTCACTGTCCCGTGTTCACGACGAGAGAGAGAGCGATGCCCACTCCTCTCGGCTTCCCTTCCGCGCCAGCTCGGGCTCCTGGGACCCGGCTGAGTGTGACTTAAGTCTCCCTGATGAGTAGCTTCTCGAAACCAGGAGCCCGAGCAGGGTCCACCTTCCTCACACCACATGGCATGGTCTCAGCAAACCTGAGGAACTTCGGGGGTGACCTCTGTTGATCTGGGCCCAGAGTCTGCTGGGATAGGACACAACGAGAGAAATAAAGCAGGTCTCTGTCCCTCTGGAAAATGGCTAAATCGTGCACGGTCCTTCCTCCTGCTCCCCCAGAGGAAACGCAGCCAGTATCGCCTTTCAGCACCACGGTCTGCACCCAGGACACCAACCCCACCTTCCACGGTGCTCCCCGTCACCTGCGCACAAAGGTCCGGATTCCTGACCCGCCGAGACCTGGCCGCTGTGGACCCTCCCACCTCAGCTGTCATCTGGCCCTCGTCCCCCAGCAGTTCTGAGGCTGGTCTCCCTGGCCTCATGTCCCTTCGCTGTCTGTCCCTCTTCTCCTGCCCCGCCCGGGCTTGGAGCCCGCCCTTGTTGCCCTGACACCCGGCACCGCCACTTCCTGTCGCCGCTCCCCAGACAGACTGCGGGGGCCTCGCTCGGACACAGACACCTGGGTTCTCGTCTTTGTTTTCCTTGGCCTGGGCCCTGTGCCCAATAAGTGTTGGTTTAACTAACCTCTGCCCTGGAAAGGCTGGTTCTGAAGCCCGTGGGTCCCTAATAGCCAGCACAGATTCGTGTGCCGCCGTGTGGGTGCAACGTGCCTTCTTCTCCGGATCGTAGTCTTTGCAGGCACCCTGACATCGAGGCACACCGCTCTGTAGTTTGTAGAGCAGGACATTGCAGTGGGGAGAGCTGAAATCACCCCCAAGATGGCAAGGTGTGTAAGCTGCCGACCTGAGCCCAGGGGTCTGGCTCCGAGCTCAGTCATTCACTGGGCGCCGGTCAGCACCCTCCACCGTACCTGCTGAGGCCCTGGTCCGAGTGGCCTTCGCAGAGCGAGCCTGTGCACCCCCAGAGGGAACCCGGGGCTGTTTCGGGAGTTTGATTTAGGCTCTGTACCAAGACTTCTGACTCATCTCCTAGGACGTGAACAGCTTGAGGGAGCTGGATAGGGCGCGAAGGAGCGATTGTTCGAGACACCCAGGTGAAGTGAGTGTTTTGGTTGGAGTCGTTGCCTGTGTTGAGTTGTGGGCGTTTTAGATCGAAGCCTGTACATGAGGAAGGATCGGTCCTGGGCCCTCAGGGCAGAGGCCCCGGCCCAGCCACGCCAGGCGCCGTGTGAGCACCCGGCAGCCTCTTCCCTGTGGGCCTCGGCCGCGGAGCACGGGCGTGGAGCCGCGTTCGGAGGGGCGCTGGGCGTGAACCCAAACAGACCCGTGGGCACATCTGCAAGATCTCAAACACAAATATTTTAACAAGCACGGAAAGCAAAGCAGAACTCTAGACGTCTAGCACATGGACTGGCGTTGCCTTCATTGTCATTTACACGTGGTTGGCCTTCTAAGTCTCAGTCTGGCTCCAGCTGGGCCCGTACGAAGGGGAGGGGGGAAGGCTCCTCTCCCGGAGACCCAAGTTAGGTTTCCAGCCCCCTGCTCTGCCTCTGCAGCAGCAAAGTGACCCCCCGCCCCTGTCCATGCCGGCTCACTGGGCTGCGACCTCAGAAGGACCCTCCGAGCTGGGGCTCAGCGTGTGGCCACAGACACATCCTCACATGACCCAGGCAGGCCCAGGACCTCGGGTGCTGTTCTCACAGCTCACACGCAGGAGCGCCAGGCCATCCTCTCACAGGCTCTGCGCGGCTCGTGTGCCCATCTCGTGTGCGCGGCTCGTGTACGTGGCTCGTGTGCCCATCTCGTGTGCGCGGCTCGTGTGCCCATCTCGTGTGCCCATCTCGTGTGTGCGGCTCGTGTGCGTGGCTCGTGCGCACGCTCAGCCATCAGATGTGCCTGGCGGGGCTGTTTGTTCTTACTCATCAGCTCGATGCCAGTCAATGCAAACCAACAGCGGAGTCCCTGTTGCAGCGGCGCGGCTGCGTCAGAGAGAGCTGTGTGCCGTGGGAGGTTGGGTCCAGAGTGCCACAGTCTCCCATTACTAACGGGGACGCAGGTGCAGAAAGGAGTTTTATTCACCTGCCCCACCCTCCGCTCCAGGAGTGTCCGCATGAATTGCTGAGGTCCTTAGCAATCTGACCGGTCACCCACAGGCCAATCATTTGAAATGGAAGATTTGGGGAAGGGAGAGAGTCAGGGGGTGAGGGAATCTGAGTTCTGACCCTGTTTCTGCTGGTGACAAACGCTGAGATTCCAGTCACTGACGTCTGAGTCTTGTCCATGACGGGAGGCTGAACCTCATGCCATGGGGGTCTCGGTGCTCTACTGTCCCAGGAGGCCGTCTCTCTGGGTGTTGGAGGCACCCCCAGAGTTTTAACTGAGACCCTGGCTGCCTGGGTCCAGGACTCCACCTTGCTTTTCCCCGAAGCGCACGACTGCCCACTCACATCAGCTTAGACACAGGCCTCTGCCGCACAGGCTCAGAGCTGGGAAGGGGGCGGAGCTCACGGGGCGGCTCACCCCCATTGGGTGCAGGGGGTCCCCAGGCACTTGTGGAGGTTTGTTCATGAAAGCACAGATGGTAAAATTTGAGATTCGTTCTGAAGGGGTGCGAGAGGGCTTGGGAGTGAAGAAGAAAAATAGAAAGATTACTTGTCTCCCCTCAGTTCAAGGGTGTCTCTGCTTTGCAGATGGAAGTCAGCTTCGAAGAAAAATGGAATGGAAGCCAGACCTACAACCTCGTGGGGCTGCAGCCGTTTGCGGAATATGTCGTGGCTCTGCGGTGTATGCCCAAGGGGTCCCAGTTCTGGAGTGGGTGGAGCCTGGAGAAGCGGGGGACAACGGAGGAAGGTAAGCTGGTCTCGTGAGTGCTTCCCGCCTGCTCGGGCCAGGGCGGCTGGGTCCTTGCTCTGGGGCTTGTCAAGCGTAGCCCCTGGGAATCAAGAGCCCCCGTCCCGAGCCTGGGTGTCTGGCCCTTTCCCCCTGACCCTCAGGAGAAGCCGGCCTCCTCTGATGGTGTCAGTTACGGTAGCATCCTTCAGCCCCAGAGGCAACAGATCTGATTGCAGCTTCAATACTCTTGCAAAGGTCTTGCCGTATCATAGTTAAAGATCTCCTTCATAAATTAAAGTGCACATTGTAAACCCTGGAGGTCTCACTAAAACCACAAACAAAGGTGTGACTAACGAGGGGGGGGGTCACACCCTTCGTGACAAGGGGGGGAACTGAAAAGGCCCGTCGGATCGGGGTTCGAGGAGGAGGTGCAGCACCAGGTCTGTGGGTGTGCCTGAAATCCCGGCCTGGCCCCAGTGACTGGGCAAGACATCTGCCCGCTAAGCCTCAGTGTCGTTACTGTTTATTCCCCTTTTCGGTAATGGAATGTGATTTGTAAGATGGAGTTAGTGTTAGCAACTACTTTTCAGTGTTATTTTATTTTATTTTATTTATTTATTTATTTTTTTTTATCCTCACCTGAGGACATTTTTCCATGTTTTGTTCAGGTAGAGTGGGAGGGGGAGAGAGGAAGTGAGAGAGAAACATCGATGTGAAAGGGACACATCGAGTGGCTGCCACCCGCACGACCAACCAGGGCCGGGGACAAATTGCAACCGAGGTACGTGCCCTTAGCGGGAACCGAACCCGGGTCTCTCGGGACCGCAGGCCGACTCTCTAACCGCTGAGCCAAACTGGCCAGGGCTTCAGTGTTATTTTAAAGCCCAAATGAAACACTCAGAAATGCAAGATTTCCTGGGGTCGTTTCTGGTCCTCCGAGGAGCCCAGAGGAACACAGACGCGCCGCCCTGGGAGAGAGCGAGCTGAGTGGTGGGTCGTGGGCAGATGGCTCAGGGGCTCGCGCTGCGGGCTGCCTCTCTGCGAATCCGGAGCCTGGCCCGTGCCGACCCCAGCCGACGGCCGCGCACGCGTGAGGAACGCCTGGGTTTTCCAGCGCCGCTCTTACCAGGGATGAGCTGGACTCGGGCGAGGTGTCATCGGTGGTCTCCTCGCACTCAAAGGGGACACGGTGCTTCTTTTCCAAGTTCCTCAGGCTGCCTGTATCCCTTGGTTACGGCCCCTCCCTCATCCACACGACATCACGCCCCTCTTTGCTTCCACCCCACCCTGCTGCTCCCCTTTTTCTGTCACGTCTTCCTGCTGCCCTCGTATAGAGACCTTTGTGGTGGCATCCAGGGCCCGCCTGGACACTCCAAAACAATCTCCTCATCCGAGATCCTGACTTAATTGCACCTGCAAAGTCCCTGGGCCACGTAAGGTGCCATTGACAGGTTTCAGGGATCGGAACTTAGATTTGTGGGGTCCATGTTCAGCTGAACACAGTGAGTGAATGACTAACTAGGTGACTACTTGGTGTTGTCCACGCGTCTTCTGAAACATGGACAGGAAAGCCCACAGCGCTGACCACCTTCTGAGGGTTTGACTTTATTTGTCTGTGAGACACGTGGTTTCCAACCGTGACTCCCGGCCTCACCTCTGGCCACGATTTCAGGCCCTGCTGATTCAGTCTCACAGGCAAGTCCCACGCTGGTCTCAGGTCACGTGTGGCCGGTTTCCGTGCTCCCGGGTCCACAAGACACACATTCCTCTGGCCCGGGCTGGTCCCCACAAGCTGGTGTTAACACATGTTTGGCACGTTTGCCGTGTGGACAGATGTCTGGAGCAGTCTAGCGCCTTCTGACTTTTGCGTCCCCAACTGGAGATGTTCGTGTGTGGCCTGGACGAGCCCTAGGTGGCGGGGTCTCACGCCAGGATTCGTGCAGCTTGTGGGGAGCGGGGTCAAAGGCCTCTGAAGGCCCCTCTCACCCTAAAATTGTGCCCTGCACCTTTAGGGTCCCGTCTTCTCTGCTAGGCCTGGGGCACCAGAAACAGCCATAGAAGTACCCAGGACATCACGTTTAGGACTAAACAGAACCTCATACATGGTCAGGGCTGCGCACATTCTAAACACGTCAAAATACACGCATGGTTAAAACAAAACTTGTCAAGTCGTGGCTCTAAGGGGAACTTTCAATGACGATTATGTACAATATTTGGGAGCATTTACCATGGACATTACCTCGGAGTGTCCAACGAACACACACATAACTGTTCACAAATATCAAACCAGACAGAGCCTGCTCGGGAAAACGGTCCGGGGTTAGGAGCTACTGGAGGCGTCGGTCACCGTTGTCTGCCTTGGCTGAGCACCCCGCCCGATGTTAGAGGGGAACGAGGTGACCCAGGTCAGCACAGGGTCCTTGGTGCCACGGTTCCAGCAGGCTGCCTGGACTGTGTCCCTCCCGGTGCCTTGTCTGCTCACCCCCCCCCCCCCCCCCGGGTCTCTCTTCTCTCAGGGACAGCCTGGCCCACGTGCTCAGAGTCTGCCACTAGCTCATCACAGGCTACCACTCTTTTTTTTTATCCTCACCGGAGGACATTTTTGCATTTATCTTCAGACAGAGTGGGAGGGAGAGAAGGAGGAAGAGAGGGAGAGAGAGAAACATGGATGTGAGAGAGACACATCGAATGGTTGCCACCCACACAACCCCAAATGGGGCTGGGGACTAATTGGAACTGAGGTACATGCCCTTAGGGGGAACCAAACCCGGGATTTTCTGGTCCGCGGGCCCACGCTCTAACCGCTGAGCCAAACTGGTCAGGGCTAGCCATTCTTTTTTAAAAATATTTTTTTACAGAGATAGAAAGGGAGAGAGAGAGAGAGAGAAACATCGACATGGGAGAGAAACATGGATCAGCTGCCTCCTGCACACCCCGTACTGGGGACGGAGCCTGCAACTGAGAATCGAACTGGGACCTCCCAGTCGTGGGATGGAGCTCCATCCATGGAGCCACACTGGCCCGGCAAGTCTAGCCCCTTTCTCACGAGGGTTTCATCCGCCGGTTTGCTGCCAGAGGCCAGACTTAGCACCGCAGCTGGTTCATGGTCTCAGCCACTTGGCTCAGCTCGACAGCAGAACAGTAGATGATCCCGTTCTCTGTGCCCTGACTCATGACATCGATCGACACTCATCCAGCGAGGCCACCGCTGGGGAACGTGTGCTTTCGTTTTTCTTCTTTTTTTCCCAGGATCCCCGAGGAAATGAATGGAATGCACCCCCTACCCCCAAGAAACCCCAATTTCCCCTCTTTGCGTTGTTTCCGAATTTCACAATGAAATGCCAGTTGTTTACTACGAAGCGCCTCGAACCTTTTCTAATTGTTTGCAAATGCTTAGTTGAAGCACTACCTGTTTTCCCCAGATTTCACCGTGTCGATTATTCCGGTTATTTACCCACATCGAAGCATGTGGACACCCGCTCCGTGACACACAATGTGTTCCGACGCGGCTTTGTGACTTGGCAGCTGAGGCGCCAGGCAGCAGCGTCGTCGCTGCGCTGTGCCTCGGAAAGGGGGCCGGTGCCGCGGGCGCTCCGGGCTGCAGGGCTGTGGGGATCGGTCGCGGTGGCTCAGGGACACGGGCTGGAAGTCCATCGAGGTGTCTGACTCCCCGATGGGACAGAACAGCACTGAACGGTGACTGCGTCACTCTGAACAGGTGATGCCTCGAATACGTAGATGGTTTCTGGGAGATCTGGAAAAACTTAACCTTGTTCTTTCACAAATACAGAATCATTATCCCCTTCCGCCTTGGATGGAAGGTCAAGAGCATGTTAGCTCGTGGTCGGCGGGAGATCCGTGCTGGCGGGGCAGTGTCCCTGCTGCGGCCGCACCCGCGGGGTGTCGCTGTGGGGTGGCTTCCCGGCAGCCTGTCTGCGGGGACCAGCAGCCTCCGTGGAGACAGAAACACCCGGTCAAAGCCGCTTGGCCTCCCCATCTGGAAAACTAACCGGCTGCCTCAGGGGTAAAGCTAAGGAGGATTTTGCTTATATTTGTAATCAAGTGACTGGAACGATCGGTTTTTAACTCATCGGTTTGTTTTCACCTCGCGTGTCCTTCAGACGAGCATCTGGGGCTGGATTGTAATGAACATTCCGCCTTTCGATTCTTCCCTCGCTCTCAGTGTCATTATCCCTGAGCCTGACTCTCACACGAGCGGGGCCGAGAGGCTGCAGGTTAGACGGAGTCGGCGTCCTTCCAGCCGAGTGGGTGGCCTTGGGGTCCCGTGACCTTGCAGCCTGTGCTGAGTCTTCTCCTGGGAGGAACCCAGGCTCCGCGCCATCTCCTTGGCTGGCAGACAGGCTGCAACTGGCCCGCGGCTCCCTGTCTGGGGCGGCTGAGTCCTGGCTGTCGTGTCTTTTGGTTCAACGAAGAGCTTTGGGAAGTCAGGAGACTCGCCGGGGCTTGCAGGGCACATTCCAGTGGCGAGCGCATGCAGTCACGCATGGAGCCTACACGGTGCCACTGCGTTACCGGAACCCCCCGCCCCCGGAGCCCGGGCCTGGTGCCGGCAGGCTTGCCATGCTGCGTTTTCTGCAGGAGGGCTTCTGGTCAGTGATTCTCCACGCACGGCGAGATGGGCAGCTGACGTCACTGCCCATTGGTGCCTTTCTGTACGTGACAAAGTTGACTTTGGAGTTCAGCAATTTCACGTGACGACTGTCTGTCACCAGGATCACAGGGATCCCTGTGAACAATCTCGTGGGGCGAAACCAGCTCAGGCCTGGGGCAGACCCGATGGCGTCGCCTTCAGCTGTGCGAGCTCCCCAAGAAAAGGTTCGGGCGCATCCCCTGCACCTTTGACGAGACATTTGTCTCCTCACTTCTCCGAATCACGGTCCTCGAGACGACCTCTCTGCTCTCCTCTCGTGGCTGACATGTGTGGGCCAGTCTCCACGCAAAAGCTCAGCATTCGGAAACTTCAGCTGCCCGTTGGCACGTTCGACCGTAAATTTCCAGCAATCCACTCCTCGCCAAAATGTGCTTGAGACAAGCACCATGGTCCAGAGATCAAGCGACATGGACATGTCTTGTATTTTTGTGATTTCCCCGTGTGGTTGGAGCAGCAGAGGCTGACACGCGAGGACCGCGTGGTCTTAGGACTCGTCGTTCACAGGAGAGACGCGAGGGTCGGGTCGAACACACTGCCTCGCGCATTCCCATGCTTGTGCTCGGCTCTGATTGCACACGTCGGGCTTGGTATCACTCTGTGCCTTTTTTGAGAGGAGCCCCGTGATAAAGTCTATTTATAAACCGAGTGCTCATAACCAGACAGTACTCATGTCTTCCTACGAATTTCTACAGTGATACCTCGGTTCTCGAACATAATTCGTTCCAGGAGGACGGTCGAGAACCGAATTGTTCGAGAACCGAAGCAATGAAACCAATAGGAAAGCGTGACTCCACAAAGCGTGACTCTCCCTGCACTCACACTGATGACGCAAGCAAGGCGCACTGGGCCGAATGAACGCCATTCGGCTCAACTCGGCTCATCTCGGAAGTTCGAGTTCCCAATATTTGTTCGGATTCCGAGACAAAAGTCTCTCGAATCTCCTGGTCGAATACCGATTTGGTCGAAATTCGAGGCGTTCGAGAACCGAGGTATCACTGTATTTTGTTTTTATCAGGCCCGGAGAAATATGCAACTCAGTGTGAGACCCCTGACCCTTGCTGCCGGGACCAGTGTTAATTTATGGCTCAGAGAGGAATTAGTAAAGATGGGTTCTCTGCCCCTTTCTTCTTTACTTCTCTCATACTTTGTAACTATGCAACCTTTTGGGAAGTAGATATGGTATACATTGTATCTATTTCTGTGTCAGTTAGCTGTCATTCCCAGCTTTGATGATGCAGATATCAGTCCTCAGAGGACAGGAGATGTCAATCCAGGTTTGAGCGATAAATCCTATTACAACGGGGTGGTTTGTGCTTTTTTTTCAACCTCACATTATTAAGTCATCAGATCCAGAGCTGTTTAGTTCATACTTTGGGTTGCTCTGCTGGCCCCCTCGAGCAGGTCCTTCCCACGCACTTTCTCCAGGGGTGGCCCCGCCCACCCTCCCCATCCCGTGGCCACCCTTCCTGTCTGCGCTGAGCTCCCTCTCGTTCCTTACAGCCCCCCTTGGCCTGGACCTGTGGAGAGTCCTGGGACCAGTCCAGGAGGATGGAAGACGGCCGGCCACGCTGCTGTGGAAGGTGAACGTGTTCTGGCATCTCTCGTCTTCACGTTTCCTAACCCCTGGTCTCTTACACCCCGACGAGCTGTGGTTCTTGAACTCTGACCTCCGGCATTTCCTTCCCAAGGGGCACTGTGGTGCCTCAGCGCTCAGGTTTCCCGGGTCAGAGTCTGGTTGGCCTCTGTGTAGGTGGCCCGAGCCTGTGCTCCAGACCGTGACCCTCTGTCCTCTCGTCTGAAACACGGGCATGTGGGACGGGTGCAGGGATAAGAGCAGGAGGCGCCTGGACCTCCGGGCCAGTCCCTGCCCGCCGGCCTGCCCGCGGAGGGGTGTGAGCCCTTCCCACATGGCGCGTCCCTGTGCGTCCCGCAGAGTGGAGACACATGGCGGGACAGGCCCGGCGGCTCTCTCTGGGGTGAGGAACCAGGGAGAGGCACAGGGTCACCCAGAGGAGCGGGCGGGGAAAGGCCCGGAGGGGGCAGGGGAATACATGGGACAGGAACCAGCAAATAGAACAAACCAGGCTGGAAATACAGAACAGACGGGGCAGCTGAGGGGACACAGAGAGGGGGAGCAGTGTGCCTCCCCAGTTCTCAGAACATACCTACGCGTTACCCCAGACTTGCGGAAGGCCAGGCAAGCCCAGCAGCCTTAAGAAAATGGAGACTTCACCCTGTTTTGCGCAGTGACTCTCTAGTCCCCGTTGCTTCGGGGCGGAGCACCCTCTGGCCTTTGTCCTCCCTTCCGCCTGCAGAGCTGTGGCCCCCCGGCTGAGGGACAGGGAAAGCCTGGTCAGCGGTGTCCGCGTCCCTGGGGGGGAGGGAGCCGCAGTGGTGCCCCCGCGGGTGTTCGGTCACCAGTGGGTCAGGCATTGCCACCTGGAGGGTGGGACAAGGACTTCAGGGCCCTCCTCCTGTGCTTGCCGGGGGACTGCTCCCCCTTGCTGTGATAGGAACGTTTTCTAAGCTGGTTAGAAAAACGAACTGTTACCAGACAGTACTCATGGTGGGACAGCTCTGAACACACCGTGGCCGCTGACGTGGCCGCCGACGTGGCCGCTGACGTGGCCGCTGATGTGGCCGCCGACGTGGCCGCGGACGTGTACTGTGAAACAGCAGGGCACACAGTGTGCGTGGTGTTGATGCAGCTGTCACTGAAAACAGGAACGCGTGAGTGTCCGGAGGGAAGGCTCCTCGCACCACCTGCCACGTTACGGGGCTGGAAAAGGCGTTCCTGGGCGGGAAGGCGAGGGGACAGAGTGCTCCTAATGCCCGCCTGGCCTTCTCCACAGTTGCTGTGCCCTCCTGTGTGTGCCCAGACAGGAATGAGCGACCCGGGGAAGCACCCGGAGGGGGCACTTAAGTTTAAGGCTGTCAGAAGAGGCTGGGTCAGAGCCCCTGGGCTCACCTGCGGCTTCTCACCAAGGGTCTGGGGCCGAGAGGGCGCCCGTCTGAGCCAGTGCCCAGGTGCTGGTCCAGGGACGGGCTCCCCTCACAGGGGCTTGGAGATGAGAGGCAAGGGGTGACTTGGCTCAGCTTTTTAGCGAACGTTCCGTGTCCATGGGGCCGGAGGGCAGGCGGAGCCGAAAGGAAGTGGGGTGTCTGCTCACCCTGGCTCGGCCCCGTGGAATCAGGATGACGCTGGTGCTGACACCGAGGGGAGGGGCCCTTGCAGGTTGACGGGCACAGCATGGGGCGCATCATTCACCCCCCACCGTGCCCCGCCCACCCCACCACCCGCCGCCTGCTCAGTGCCTGCCCTTCTCTGTTTTTGGGGATTCGCTCGGCTTCCTGTGTGCAGAAGGCCAGGGGGACCCCGGCCCTGGAGCAGACGCTTGGTTACCACGTGCGGTACTTTCCCGAAAACAACGCTAACCTCACGGAGACGCTGAACACCACTCGCCAGCAGCTGGAACTGCTCCTGGACGGCAGGGCCTACCAGGTGTCCGTGGTGTCCTATAACTCCTGGGGGCAGTGTCCCGCGGCCACCCTGAGGATCCCGGCTGTGGGCGAAAGGGGTGAGTACAGTGGACCCTCTCACGCCGGCGCTGCGCCCGGGGCCCGGGGCGTCCGCCCTCTCCAGGCTGCTGCTCCCGAGTAGGATGCGGACACGGGGACTCAGGCTCTGGTGGGAAGAGCAGACTCCGAAGTGGCTCCTTGGAGCACAGCTGTGTCGGGACAGACTTCACCCACCTTGCGATGCGAAGTCACCGGCCCGCCACGCGGCGGCGTGTTCGCTCTGGTCTCAGGAGCCGATGTGGCACCAGCCCTGTGGACGGCCACCTCCCCCACGGTGTCCTCAGTGGCCGGCACTCTCTTTCGAGACCTCCCCTCACGCGGTGGCCCTCTGCCCGGCCCAGCCTTAGTCTGCTCGGTGTCCCTCCGCCCGACCCCGCGTTAGGGACACGCCTGCTGTCCGTCCTGCCAGCAGATTGCTCGTGGGACTTCTGGCAAGTAGGGGAGAGCGTGGTGCCGCCCTCGGCAAACTCGTATTTTATATCCCGTTTTAGGTTCAAATCGCTTCTTTGGTTCTTATTCAAGGAACCGCGGGCCCTGGGTTCCCCTGCTTCATTTTTCTCTGACCTTCACTGAAATCATGCCAAATGCACACGGGATTTGTTTGCTTTTCCCCAGCTCTGCAGGGATGTGCTTTGTCAGAGCTCGGCCGCTTCATCAGGTGCAACGGCCCCAGAGCAGGTGTAGGCAAACCCGGCCTGACACCGGCTTTTATAAAGTTTTATTGGCACACGACCACACCTGTTCATTTACATATTATCTCTGTCTCCTTCTGTCCGACAAGGGCACACTTGTTAATGACGGAGATCATCCGACCTGCAGAATCTGAAATATTCCCTATTTGGCTCTTTATTTACTTTTTTTTCCTAGGGAGAGAGATAGGAACATCGATGTGAGAGAGAAACATTGATCAACCAGCTGCCTCTTGCACGCCCCCTACTGGGGATCAACCCTACAACTCGGCCATATGCCCTGACCGGGAATGGAACCGGGACCTCTCAGTCCACAGGACCACGCTCAGTCCACCGAGCCACACCGGCCGGGCTTTATTTACTATTTCTATTTACGAAGGAAGTTACAGACACCTGTGCGGGTCATAGAGAAAGTGATGTCTCATAGAATTTTGTGTACGCGGGTGGAGACTAGGGGAAGGACAGCAGTAAGGACAGCAGTCACCGAGTGGGTGTGACGAGCGTGAATTCCTCAGTGTGTCTCGCGCTGCGCTCAGGACACAGGTGGGCCTCATGTCAGCTCGCCACGACCCATGAAGTTGACGCCGTCAGATCCAGTTACAGACGATGAGGCTGAGCGCCAGGAAAGCTTAGCAGGGCCTTCGGCCTCACGGTGAAGTCCCAGTGTGCACAACAGGAAGGCCTCGGACTGGGGACTAACAGCATGACGTAGGCTGTGGTCACGGGCGCTGTGTGACGCTGACCTATCCTACCTCTGTGGCTTCCCTTTCCCACGGCGAGAACATTAGGGACTGGAGCCCGTGCAGCCTCAGGCTCCTCCGGCCGGAAGCCCTCTGCATTCTGGGAGACCTTGGCCGGCAGAGGAGGGAGGGGCTGAACGGGCTGGAGTCGAACCTGAGACCTGCATCTGGCAGGTTCGGGGCAACCGCCCTCATGAGAATCACAAGAAATCAAGGGTGTTTGCAGTCAAAGCCCCTTCCCGGAGGGACCTGTGTTTCCTACCGCTCCTGGGGCTGCGTTGTATTTGGAGAGACTGCTTGTAACTTCTTGCTGAATGGCGGACAGCCCAGTAAGGCTGTATGTTCAGGAGAGTGATGATTTGGAAACATCTTCCAGCTCCACTCACAATGCCCGGCCCCCCTGTCCTCTGTCCTTCAAGGCTGGCCCGTGGCCTCACTGGACAGTTCCGCCCTGTGTGGGGCTGACCTGTGGCCTCAGTAGACGGTTCTGCCCTGTGGGGGGCTGGCCCGTGGCCTCAGTAGATGGTTCTGCCCTGTGGGGGGCTGGCCCGTGGCCTCACTGGACGGTTCTGCCCTGTGGGGGGCTGGCCTGTGGCCTCACTGGACGGTTCCGCCCTGTGGGGGGCTGGCCTGTGGCCTCACTGGACGGTTCCGCCCTGTGGGGGGCTGGCCTGTGGCCTCACTGGACGGTTTCATCCTGTGGGGGGCTAGCCTGTGGCCTCACTGGACGGTTCTGCCCTGTGGGGGGCTGGCCTGTGGCCTCACTGGACGGTTCTGCCCTGTGGGGGGCTGGCCTGTGGCCTCACTGGACGGTTCCGCCCTGTGGGGGCTGGCCCGTGGCCTCAGTGGACGGTTCCGCCCTGTGGGGGCTGGCCCGTGGCCTCAGTGGACGGTTCCGCCCTGTGGGGGGCTGGCCCGTGGCCTCAGTGGACGGTTCCGCCCTGTGGGGGCTGGCCCGTGGCCTCAGTGGATGGTTCTGCCCTGTGGGAGGCTGGCCCGTGGCCTCAGTGGATGGTTCCGCCCTGTGGGGGGCTGGCCCGTGGCCTCAGTGGACGGTTCCGCCCTGTGGGGGGCTGGCCTGTGGCCTCACAGGATCCCTTCTCTGTCTGCAGCATCTCGGTGCATTGAGGCCGTGCAGACCCGCCTCACTCAGGACCAGCTGGTGGTGGCGTGGCAAAGCTCTGCCCCGGACGTGGACACGTGGATGGTGGAGTGGTTCCCAGACTTGGACGCAGAGCCCTCTGCCTTGTGCTGGGAGTTGGTGTCCGGGGCCAGGAACTGGACCATCCAGCAAGGTAGCCACTGCGGCCCCCGCACGGGCCTCCTAGCAGAGTCCACTCCGCTCCCAGGCAGCTTGAGTCTGTGCCGGTGGCCTCAGAGCCGGGAGTGTGGCCAGAGCATCAGCCCGCTGGCCGAGCACACGCCTCTCGGCCTTCCCAGCAAAGCCCGGGCGTCAGACCAGGCCTCGCTGTTTCCCGGTGCCAAGCACCCTCCTCACACCAGTCAGAGGACCCTGCCCAGACCTCTCGCCCGTGTGGATGACACCAGAGTTCATGTCCATCTGCCCAACCCAGGCCCCCCAGTTCTGGCTGCCTGTTTCAGAGCTGGGCCCTCTCCAGGGAATTGATGCAGGGAATGACCTTGCTTCAAGGTCGTCTCGGATCCTGGTGGGACACGAGTGTCCTGTCGGCCCAGACCCTTAATACCTAACCACGTCCACATGCGGATGTCGCCCCGCAGGGATGCAGGTGGCAGAGGGCCTAGAGCTCAGCGCAGCCGTGTGCTCCAGGGGCGTGCTGTGGGCGGTGCCCGAGTCGTACCGCAGCACCGGGGTTGGGGGCCCGGACCCCTCGCCCTCCCTTCCTGGGTGGCTCCGAGGATTCGTTTAAAATGTTAGAACTAGCCCTGGCCAGTTTGGCTCAGCGGTTAGAGCGTCGGCCTGCGGTCCGGAGAGACCCGGGTTCGGTTCCCGCTAAGGGCACGTACCTCGGTTGCAGTTTGTCCCCAGCCCTGGTTGGTCGTGCGGGTGGCAGCCACTCGATGTGTCCCTTCACATCGATGTTTCTCTCTCTCCCTCTCTTCCTCTCCACCCCCCCACCACTCTACCTGAACAAAAAATGGAAAAGTGTCCTCCGGTGAGGATAAAAAAAAATAATAATAAATAAAATGTTGGAACTAGAATAAACGCCAGAGACCATCCACCTAACGCCCTCACGTCCACTGCAGAGAAGTAGCGTTTTCCCCAGTCGTGGGCGGGGCTTGGCCTGGCGCCCCGTCCACACGTCTGTGCGCCCCCGTCTCTCTGTTACAGACGCGCTGACACCTTTCTGGTGCTACAACATCTCGGTGTATCCGATGTTGCGAGACCGCGTGGGCGAGCCCTCTTCTGTCCAGGCTTATGTCAAAGAAGGCGGTATGTGTGGACGGGTCCCGGGGGGTGCAGGGGGAACACTGGGCCCGTCCAGCCCCAGCCAAGTGAATGCCCGCAGGCCTGGGGCTCACCTCGCTGCCCCGGGAGCACCCCGTAGGCTCCGGATGCAGGGTGGTCAGGTTAGGGTTCCACGAATTTCAAAGCATCAAGTCCAAGCCCCTCGTCTCGCGAATGGGGAAGTGAGGCTCAGAGAGGTGACCACCTTCCCCAAAGTCATGGAGGAACTGGGGGCACCCAGCGCTGTGGGCAGAAATAACGTTTGGTTAGGACCCTGAAGAGCCCTTCATAAGTCGGAGATGCTGAAAGATCCTAACTGTGTCGCAGTAAGTGAGGGTCTCCCTGGAGAACCTCTCAGACTCCACGTGTGTCTGTGTGGAAGTTAACGTCTCCCGGCCTCAGCCGTGGAGAACGCACCTCATCCACGTGGCCCGTGGACGCTCTCCCCTGTCAGGCCGTCGCTAGCGCAGGAGCGGAAGAAAGAGCAGGTGTCGGACGAGGCGGGTCCCCGAGAAAGCCCCTTTCGCCTCCGGGTCGAGGTTGCAGGTGACTGGAGGCCAGTCGGGCCCCCGGCCTCTCCTCCAGCACAGGTGGTCTGAGGACCCGCAGAGCCGAGGGGCAGGGCCGCTGCCCGCCTCGGTGCTCACGGTCCTCCGTCTCCTGTGAAGTCCCGTCAGCAGGTCCCGTGACCAAGGTGGAGGACATCGGTGTGAAGGGCGTTACCGTCACGTGGAAAGAGATCCCCAAAACTCAGAGAAATGGGTTCATCAGCAACTACACCGTATTTTACCAGGCCGAGGATGGAAAGGCGTTCTGTAAGTGTGCTTCTAGCCTCGTTGAAAACCCCCCAGGGCCCCGAACAGAGGCGGCAGACCCACCTGCCGGGGTGGGGGGTGTGGGGGGGTGGCTGCCACCTTGCAGGCGTCACTGAGCTTTCGGGGCCTCTCGAAGGAGGGGCACCTACGCGGAGATTTTTGGAATCAAAGGAGAGAGGAGTTTCTGTACCTGAAAGTCCTGTAGGAAGCGGAGGGGTTCACCTGGCGTGTCCTGGCAGGCGGGGAAAAGGCTCCCCTCGGGGCATCCGGCCATTATCCCGGCTGGGCTCCTGGGCTGGAGACAGACCCCGCTGGGGGCGCTCACCTCAGTGAAGGACCCTTTTCCGAGCTGCCTGCTGTCCCCGCCAGGGCACCCTTTGTTCTTGAACCCACAGTATCTGCTGACATCCTGAGCTCTGGGCTCGGCTTAGATTGCTGTGTAGGCCAGCTTGGTGCTGTGCTAAAACACATATGACATCACATGTACCCGTGCACACGGGCAGTGTGTCAGGCATGCTAACACAAGTAAGTGCATCCATGATGTGCACCCATCACCGCTGCCTGTTTCCACTCCAAGCAGAAACCCTGGATCCACCGGTCAGCCCCTCCCTGCCGCCCCCTCCCACAGCCCCGGCGCCCACAGAGCGCGTTCTGTGTCTGTGGACGTCCCTCTTCGGACGTTTCGAGTAGATGGGGTCCTGCACCGTGTGGCCTTCGCGTCCTTCCCCCAGCACGGGGTCTGCCAGTCCACGCGCGTGGCAGTGGGTGTTGGTGCCTCTTTCCCCTTTGTCACCGACTGTATTCTGCTGTCGGGTGTCCACAGTTTGTCTGTTCTTCGTCAGCTGATGGACGTTTGGGACGTGTCCGCCTTTCGGCTGCTGTGGTCAGTGCTGCTGTGAGCACTGGCCACGGGGTCTGGGAGGGAGCCGCGGGGCGCGAACACCTGCTCGAGTCCCTGCCTGAATTCTTGGGGATGCGCACCTGGGGGATGGCGTGGTGAGGAGCCTCCCCCAGCTCACAGGAAGGTCCGAGGTTCCAGCTTCCCCACATCCTTCCGACACGTGTGACTTTCTGTTTAAAAAACGACTCGGGCCCTGGCCGGTTTTGCTCAGTGGTTAGAGCATTGGCCTGCAGTCCAGAGAGACCCGGGTTTGGTTCCTGCTAAGGGCACGTACCTCAGTTGCAGCTTGTCCCCGGCCCTGGTTGGTCGTGCGGGATGTGTCCCTTTCACGTCAATGTTTCTCTCTCTCTCTTCCTCTCTCCCTCCCACTCTATCTGAACAAAAAATGAAAAAATGTCCTCAGGTGAGGATAAAAAAAAAAAAAAGACTCGGTTTTCCTAGTGGGCACAGAGAGCCATCTTACTGTGGTTTTGATGAGCATTTTCTTAAAAAAAATTTTTTTTGAGAGAGAGGACGGGAGAGGGAGAGAGAGATCGAAACATGGATGAGAGAGAACATCGACTGGCCGCCTCCTGCTTGTCCCCCACTGGGGATCAGCCCACAACCTGGGCATGTGCCCTGACCGGGAATCGAACTGGCGACTTCTTGGTGCAGGGTCGATGCTCAACCACTGAGCCTCACCGGCCGGACTGATGACATTTTCTTAATAACTCATGATGTTGAGCATCTCGGCCTGTGGCTGTCTGTGTATCTCCTTAGAAAGTCTTCACAATCCCCTTGCCTGTTTTTGTCTTTGTTTTTGTTTTTTTGTGGTACGTGCCCCTCGCGGGAACCAAACCCAGGACTCTGTGGTCCGCAGGCCGATGCTCAACCGCTGAGCCACCTGGCCAGGGCCCCTTGCCTGTTTTTAAGTTGGGTTGTCCTTCGGTGATTGAGTCGTAAGAGGTTCTCTCTTATCTTCTGGATACAAGTTTCTTGTCAAGTACATGATATGCGAATATTCTCCCCATTCCGGGGGTTGTCTTCGCACAACACTAAGGATGTGTCCTCAGATGCATAGACACTTTTCATTTCGCTGAAGCCCCGTTCAGTCTGATTTCTTTTGCTGCCGGTGAGTCTGCGTCAGGGCTAAGAAGCCCCGTCAGCACCTGGGCCGCGCGGGTTTGTCCTGTGCTGCCTGCTAAGAGCCGCAGAGCCTGAGTCCCTGCGCGGAGCTCCGTGATCCGTCTGGAAGAGAACATGGTCGAGGGTCGGGGCACGAGAGGACCAGGTTCTCATGTTCCCATTGGAGGGGTGCTGAAGCCCCACTTCCAGTGGGCTCGGCGGTGGTGGGTGACATCTGTATTTTCCCCTCAGCCAAGACGGTCAACGCCAGCACCCTGCGGTCTGACCTGGGATCTCTGACGCGGATGACCTCGTACACTGTTCAGGTCATGGCCAGCACCAGCGCGGGGGGCGCCAACGGCACCAGGATAAACTTCAAGACGCTGTCAATGAGTGAGTGCTCCCTCCCAGCCCGTGTCTCCTTGGCCTTCTCCTGGGCCGGCAGGGGTGCCCTGTGCCAAAGGCAGGCGAAGCCATCTCCTGGACTTCCCCGGAGGCCTGTGGGCGAGCAGAGAGCAGGGGACTGGGAGCTGGGTCCCGAGACACTGGCCATCTTGCCCCTTCCTCCTGGGTGGCCCCTATGGTCTCGAGGAGGAGGGTTCAAGTTCATGTCAGCTGCGCTCAGCCGCCAACCAGCTCCTGCTTCCAGGCTGTCCCCGAGCTCACAGTCACCCCCTGGTGTGTGTCGGAGGTTACTGCACGGTGCGGCCTCCCACGGAGAACCTTGGTTGGACAAGCACCATGGGCCCACGGGACGGGACTTATCTTCCTCATTTGGGGAGTTTTTTAAGCAAAAAAAAAAAAGGACCTAATATGCTCTACTTATCAGCTTTTACATTAAAAACAGGGAGCAGGAACCATTTAATAGAGCAAAAATGTAAAATGCATGGTAGTTGCACAGGATGGTTCTGGGAGGGGTCGAGGGCACAGGCCCAGGAGGAAGGTGGGGGGAGGGAAGAGGGGGAACCGCAGTGTCTCCTCTTCCCAAGTCCCCACCGAGAGGGCAGATTTCAAGGGCGCATGAAAACTTGAAAGAATGAGCAACCTTTACAGTAAGAGGGAAGGAGCTAATTTCCTAGGAGCAGCTGAAGACAGTCTGCTTTGAGTCTCCTTGGAAGCCTTTGTCCATCGCGTTTCCAAGAGAAAGGGTTTCTGTTCTTTACGGGTCGGGAACATGTGCCGGAGACCGTGTTTACATAGAGCAGGCGCTCTCTTCGGACTAGCACGGCCTCCTGGGAGTTCCGTTTGAAAACGCTCTTTAAAACCTCGTCAAGTCACCTGTTTTCACAGCTCTGGGCGCAGCGTAGTGTCCGAGGTGTTGCTGACGGCACTGTCCGCAGGGGTCCAACTGGGCCTCCTCCGCCGGGTCTGCGGGGGGCGAACCTCTCTGCCCTGCCCCAGCCCCTCAGCCTCGTCCCTGTCCCCATGGGGGGGCGAGTCACAACCCGAGGCCCCTGCCAGCCCGGCAGTGGCTTCTGCTGCCTTTTGAGTGAAACCCAGATTCCTTCCCAGACCTTTCTGGGTCCCACACTGGAGCCTGTTGCACCTCAACTCCTGCCCCTCTCGGTTCCCGAACCCGTCCCTGCGCCGCGGCTGTCCCATCAGCGGATGCCTCCCCCCTGCGCGGGCCTCCTGGTCGCCAACACGAGCTTTAGTTGGTAACCTGGCCACTATTCCCGGCTCGAGGAGTCTGCGGTGCTGTCCGAGGTCCTCCTGGGCAGCAGGGGTCTGCAGTGCTGGTTGTTCCGGTGCCCAGAACAGCGTTTGGGGAACAGTGAGCGAGCCGCAGGCGAGGGAGGCTGCAGCTGGACCTGTGGACACGCCGGTCAGCGCCCCTCGGACCCCGAGGGGGAGCCCCGAACTCCACGTTTTCTTAGTCGGAGGAACTCGAATGAATCGAGAGGAAATCGCAGGGAACGTGCTGCCGAAGGTCCTGGGGAGAGAAGCCGATCGCGGCTTCTTGCCAAGGAGCCAGGAGCGTGAGCTGCCGTGACGTGTCCCCTCTCCCGCAGGTGTCCTGGAGATCTGCGTCACGGCCTCGCTGGTGGGCGGAGGGCTGCTGGCTCTCACCATCCTGACCGCGGCGTTCGGGCTCAAGAGGCCCAAGTGAGTGTGTGGCCCCGAGCACCGCCTCGGCCGGGGCTGGAGACCGCGGGGGCGTCGCGGGGGGGGCTCTCCCGTGAGGGCGCCCCTGCATCACTGGTACACGTCCTCCGACTGTGCTACCTGTCACCCCGGGGCTCCGCAGAGTCCTGACCAGCCAGGAGGACTGTCCCGTCCACACCCGGGAGCCAGGCCCAGGCCGTGCTGAGTAGCCCACAGGCTTTATCTGCCGAGTGCGGCATCTGAGACCACAGTTGGGGGGAAGCAGCAGTGGGGTCCTCGCAGCAGCAGGAGGCCTCAGGGCCGCGAGCGTCTCTGGCTGGCAGAGCCGGAGCGGTGAGCCCTGTACCCGGGAAGGAGGGTGGCGGCGGTCCGGGCTGGCCGCAGGGGCGTGGGTCCTGCCTCCCGGCCACGGGAAAGGAGCCTCTTCAGGGTCGTGCTGCCCTCCCCAGAGAGCCCCTGCCTCCTATTCGTCCAGAACCGCTCAGCGGGCGCCTCTGCCCGGGCTGTGCTGGGTCGCGCCAGGCTCCTGTCAGCCTCGGCTCCGAAGGCAGGTGCGCTTGTCACCAGCGCCAGCCTGTGCACTCTGCCCGGGTAACTGGTCCCTGGTGCAGCTGGGCTGCTGCGGGGACCACACTGGGAGGACCGGCACCGAGAGTGGGTGGTTTTCCAGGGTTAGCGCACCACTGGGCCCAGAGAACAAACCTCACAGAAGTGGCCCGGGGCGTCTGATGGCTGGTGCCGGGTGGGGGAGGGAAGCAGGAAACTGCTTCCCATCACGTCAACCTCAGCCCGAACTGCCTCCCTTTCCCAGCGGGAGTCAGGAGGCCGGGGCGCACCCTTATTTCCGGGGCCCCACCGCCCCTCCGCCAGCAGCTCCGCAGCTCGCTCTGCTGTCCCGAGAGTGCACGCTGGACTCAGGGCTGTTTGAAATCTCCCTTCCCAGCAAACTGAGGCGCCTCTGCTGCCCCGATGTCCCCAACCCTGCAGAAAGCAGCATAGCCATGTGGCGCGGAGATGACCTCAAGGTGAGCAGCCCCGTGGGCTCCCCGAGCCGGCGGCGGGGGGCTGGGGAACCGTGCAGGGCCGAGCTCTGTGCAGGGCTCACGCACAGGACCCGAGCGTGGAAACTCCCGGCCACGGCGGGACGTGGGCTCAGCCTCCGGGATGGGCTTTGAGCTCATTCTGTGCGCAGAGGAAAGGGGTCAGCAGGCTCACCGGACCCCAAGGGCGCCGGTGGGAAGGACCCTGGCCCTGCTCCTGATTGGGGGCGAGAGAGCCGGCCGTTCGGAAAACAGCCAAGGTGATGGAGCGGCCACCTGGCGCCCTGGGGGCCTGGATGTGTCCACGTTTGGGGACGGCCACCGCAAGCGTTCTCAGACCCAGGAAGTTACCATCAGACTTTAATTTGCAGTGGCGTTTTCTAGTGAATTTCTCCAAAGCAGAAAACCCTTCTTTTTCAGAAGTTTTACATCTAAAACTGTCCTGAAAAATTTTAGGTTGAATTTCTTGCTTCAGTAAAAATAAGCCCGATCAAATATAACCTTTCAATCCTTGTCATCGAGAGACTGTTGGCAGTATTTCTTGATGCAGGAATTTTGTTTTTTAAACTTTTTTTCTTCATTGATTTTTAGAGAGAGAGAAAAATAGAGGGGAGAGAGATAGAAACGTCGATGAGAGAGAACATCGATGGGCCACCTCCTGCACGCCCCCCACTGGGGATCAGGCCAACAACCTGGGCATGTGCCCTGACTGGGAATCAAACCAGTGACCTCTTGGTGAAGGGTCAACATTCAACCACTGAGCCACGCCGGCCGGGCAGGAATTTTTAATATCAGCCCCTGTTTCAACTCAGAGGTCTCCCTTTAATGTGGACATGTAAAAATTATTTTCACTTAGTTATTTTAATTTTTGCTATTTTGATTTCTATCTTCTCTCCTCTCTCTGTCCTGCATGACCCTGTTTACTTCGCTGCGTACCGGAAGTTACTAGGAGAGCAAATGATTCGTAGGCAGGACCGTCTGGTGTCTAAATGCTTTTCGAATGGTCTGTGGGCCTGGCCTCAGCACCAAGCACATGTCCGTACTCACTGCCAGTCGGGGGCCGGGCTGGGCTCTGGGCGACAGAGGGACAGAGAGGACACTGTCCCTGCCACAGGGCCACCTTGAGTTTCCGTGACACTGGGGGAGTCGTTTGTCTTTGTGACCATGGCCTCCCACCCGTACGGCTCTGACTGTGACGCTGGGCTCTCGGCTGGGGTGTGAGCACGGGATTGTGGGAAGTGGCCTGTGGCCTCTAGAAGTCGTCCGAGGGCTGTCCCTTCTCGGGACATGGGCCGCTCTCGCCACGCTTGACAGACGGCACATGGCGGTGACGAGCCTCCACTCTGGTCTCGGAGGAACATGGGGGACTGGTCACCGGTGGGTGTTGGGTGTTCAGAGCCTAATGAGCTTTTGCTTACTCATATGTAGCCCCCAAATGACCACGGGGGGTCTCCTCTCTTTTCCAGAGCGTGCTAACCCTGAACACGGACGCCTCTGTGAGCTCGGAGGAAGACAGGATCCTGAAGCCAGGCGCTGCCCCTCGTGACCTGGTTGACAAGTTGGTGGTGAACTTCGAGAACTTCCTGGACGAGGTTCCCACGGGGGCACCAGGGAAGGGCCAGGAGAGCGTTCCGGGAGGGGAAGAGAATGAGTACGTGACCTCCCCCTACAGGCCTTACTGGGCCCCCGGGGACAGCCCCGTGGGGCCCGCCCAGCGCCTGTGCCCTGGCAGGCCCGAGGGCAGCGGCCCGGCCGCCGGACAGCAGCTCCCGCGTTCGGCTCCGGGCCCAGGGCCAGGCCAGGCCGGTGAGGAAGGACCGCAGACTCTGTATTTGAAGAATTCGGTGACCACCAGGGAGTTTCTCGTGTCTGCGAATCCTCCAGACCAAACCAAGAGAGAGATCTAGATGCCATTCCGGCTTGCGTCCCCCTTCGTCTCGGTGGGGGACTCTCAGAGGTGACCCCGGCCTGGCCAGAGGGTGACCTGCCACCACGCCCGCTGTTGTGAGGGGAGGTCTTGCCCACCTCTGATGGCGCGGGCGCACCCGCTCGGCCTGCCTGCGGAGGAGACGGGGCGCTGGCGCCCGGACGCTTCCCCCAGGACACGCCATCTATTCCCTTTGGTTCGGATCAGAGGCTCCGCCCAGGCCTGTGACAGGTCGGCTGGGCAGGACACTGGACCCGGAGGTGGACGTCCGGCCTTCCCTGGGCACTGGCTCAGGGTCACACCTGCTGGGGCTACTCCTCAGAGTTCCGGGACACGTTGTCCCCGTGGCCAGAGCACAGGTGTTTCGTGGCACTTGGGCAGTCTGAGGGGCGGGGGTGTCTCTCTTCTGTCACCTCGGCCCCCCCAGTTGGCGCTGAAATGGCACTGATGTTCGTCCCTCAGCACGGGGCGGGCAGTGGACAGCCCCCTGGCGGCTGCTCGTCACCCCGGGGGAATCCTGAGGGGCCGTAGCAGCACCCAGCTGGGCTCAGCCCTGTCCGCAGCTGGCTGGGCTCTCGGGCCAGCGTCTGCCCCGCTCTCAGGCCCTGCCCAGCCCGGGACATGGCTCCGGAGGCCCCTCTGCCCTCTGTCTTGCCCCCAAGGCTGGGGTAGAAAGACACCGTTCCAGGGGCCTCTGTGCGTGAACCTCCCCTGCCTCGGAGCCCAGCCACGCTGCCTGACACGCCTGGCGGGCCTCTGCCCAGAGACAGACCGAGTGACCACTGTCCCAACAGCAGACCTGCCCTTGTCCAGCTGAGCATGGAGCTCCTGACAGGCAGGGGCGCCTGGAGCCACAGTGCTGCAGCCCGACCCCGCCACCTGACCCGGGACTCGGTGGGCGCTGGGCTGGGCCCCTCCACAGAGACAGGGTGCCATCCAGCGCGTGGCTGCGAGGTGCGGTGACCCCGGGACGTGCGGCCAGCGGCCAGCGGCTGGCGGCTTTTCCTCCAGGAGGGGCCGCAGGACTTCTTGGCCCCCAGCTCAGCGCTGCAAAAACCTCGCTTCACTTCCCTGTGACTGAATGAATGTCCGGCCCAACCCTCTGCTGGGTGGGCGTCACCACAGCCCAGGCGGCGGTTTCTGAGTGTCTGGGCTTGTGACTCGAGCCATCCGCTGGGGGAATGAGGCTGAGCGTGGAGGGTGTCCATGGGGGAGGCTTCGTCCCTGTCTGGCGTCTGCCCGGGGCTGGCATCGGGCATGCTGAGGCCCCACCTGCCCTGTGCAGTCACTGTGTCCGGACGGGACACCAGCCAGCGGTTTCTGCCCCGGAGCTCCCTCCTCCGCCCACCGCCTGTCCGCAGCGCCTCCTCGGTCTCCCCACCCCCCCATTAGAAAGGTTTGGGCTGCTACTAGGGCGTGGGGCTGGGAGGGGCACTCGACACCTGCCCTGGTCCTGGGAGGAGAAAGGGACCCAGCAGAGGGATGCGCCACCTCCAGGCTGTGGGGGGCTCCCTGCCTGAAGCCCACCCCCCTGTGTGACTTGGGTACTTCTGTGAACCCCTGTTCCCCAGAGTCCAGCTGGGCCCTTGGCAATCTGCCTTTGGACTGTGAGCCGTGGGCAGGGCTGACCTCATGCCCACGCCGCCCTCTTTCCTGTGGCCCCCGGCCCCTCCGCCCGGCACTGCCTCGCACTGTGTACGCGGTGGGCCCACCGGCTTGTCGTCTGCCCCTGGATGAGGCTCCGGAGTGCAGATGCAAGAGTCTGGTGGCTGGGCAGAGACAAGGGGTCCCCGGGGCTCCGGGGAGTGGGCTTCAGAGACAGAGCGTCGCCTCTGCTGTCCCGCGGGGAATCGGCCTCCAGGAGGGTCTCGGGGCCCTGCCTGTGCCCCTCTGCCCTGGCCTCCCTGACCTTTCCCCACAGCTGCTGGCTGTCCCTTACCTCCTCCTCTTTGCTCTTGTTTCTTTTCCTGTCTTTCCTTTCCCTGCTTCCCGCCAGCTTCCTCTGGCCATTTCCTGTTACTGCGCTGCTCTGGGCCGTTTTGTTCTGGACGTCCGGCCGCCTTCGCTGGGCGTCACCCCCCGTCAGAGGGCTGTTTTCCCAGAAACCCCGGCACTCGCCGCACAGCTGCACCCAGCTGTTGAGAGCGGAGCTGCCGGACCCAGGAGCCACGGTGACCTCCCTGTCCGGTGGAGGCACAGCCTGTCCCCCTGCCCCGCGTCCGCGGCTGCCTCTGGCCGGCGGCCACTCGCCATGCTCTGTTCTGACGGCAGCAGGAGAGCCTGAGTTTCAGCCGGGCGTCCCGGGCTCAGGGGCCAAGCCAACAGCTGTGGGACCCCCGCTGGTGGGCTCGCTGTTACAGAAATCCCCGAAACGTGCACGGGGTGGCAGGGGAGCCGACCTGGTAAAACAGGGGATACCTCTCTGGTTTCTCAGCAGGTAGCGGCAGACTGGTGAGAACTCGGCGGTGGTGGGTGGGGGCCAAGGGAGAGGGTCAGGCTGGGGTCCCGGCCTCCCCACGCTGCCCCTCCCTGTGTGAGGCCTGCCTGCTCTGGTCACTGCCCGGGCAGGTGCGCTCCAGCCAGGGTTTGAGAACCCACCCTGGGGCCAAGTGTGCGCCCTGTTTTCGCAGAGCCCATGAGCCGAGGATGCTGCTGACTTTTAGAATCTGGGAAACAGTATCCAAGGAGGAATAATGTTTAATGACGTGAGATTCTATGAAACTGAGACTTCAGGTCCGTACAGGACACATCCTTGGAACACAGCACGTCCCCGGGGACAGAGCTCCCCCTGCAAGCTGACCTTCTGCCCTCGGGCCCTGCCCAGCAGCAGCCCACCCGTGCCGCCCCGGCACCTGTGGCCCGCAGAGCACTTCAGCTTTGCGTGAGCTGCCGATTAGAAAGCAGTCCGCTTCTGCCATCCTGGGTGTCTCACGGAAGGGGACTGTCCCCTATGGAAGGGCACACACTCTGCCCCGCCCCCAAGCCCTCACAGTTTCCTGTCCCTCACAGCTGAGGGGCGTTTGGTGGCTCTTTATCACTTATACCAGGGTTCTGGATGGGTGGTGTGTTCCCCTGCGGACATTTGGAGATGCCTGGAGACGGGAGGGGGGGTGCTGCAGGACTAGGGGTCGGGCCGCAGGACGGGGGTCGGGCTGCAGGATGGGGGTTCGGGCTGCAGGACTGGGGTTCGGGCTGCAGGACGGGGTCTGTGGGAGAGTGTTCTCAGAGGCACAGCCGTCCATTCTGTTTGCGGAAGCCTGGGGCTCGGCCCCCCCGCTCGGTCCCAGCAGGGCCATCCTGCACGAGGCGCGTGGTGACCAGCGTGTGGAGAGCCCGGGACTAACGCCATCGTCGCAGCAGCGCCAAGGTCCGGCCAGCGAGCCCGGGCAGCTGTCCAGGGCTTGGGGTGCGGCCGCCGCGCCGTTGTGCACAGAGGCAGGCAGAGCGGCCGCGCGTGACCGCGGGGAGGACGCCCTCGCGGCTGCTTGCTCACGGCGCCAGGGCCTGTGCTCCCAGCTGGCTGGAAACAGGTGGTTGGGCTGGAAGGAACAGGCTGTGAAGTGCTGTGACCCAGACTTTCCTGTTGACCTTTCGCATAATAAAGCCGTGATGCACCTTCACCTGACGTCTGCTTCCGTTCTCAGTGTCACCTGCTCAGATGTTAACGACACCACACACTGCAGGTGTGAACATCGCCCGCGGCACAGCTGGGCGTCTCCTGGCTCCGGTGACCAGGAACCGGGCAGGGGCACCTCTCCGGCCAGCGCCCTGCTGGGCCTCGCCCTGTCCCCGCGGCTTCCTCTCACCCCTCTGGGCAGCTGCTCCAGATTCCTCCAGCTCCCCAAGTCCCCCCGGGGCCTGTGTCCCGCTCCAGGAGGGTGTGCCCCCAGCGCTGTCACCCCCTCTTGAGGCCGGACTTCGACCTGGACCTTGAGGCGAAGGGGCCCTGCTCTCGCCCCCCCCCCCCCGACGTGCCCCTTCAGCTTCTGCACATGCTCGTCCCCCAGCTCTGTGGTCCTCAGCTTTCGCCAGCAGCCACTCCCCCTGACCAGCTCATGGTCGCAGGGCAGAGTGAGCCCACGCTTCTCCCGGCGGACAGCAGCATCATTCTAGAACTTTCTGGAGGTACAGAAGGCAAGCCCCTCAGAGCAGACAGCTTGGGGACAGGCAAGGACACCAGATCAAACACCTTAAGTGCCCGGATCTATCGCCCTGTGGTGCCTGGGGCCAAGCTCAGCTGAGGCCCCACAAAGTCGTCTGTCGTCTGTTAACTTTCTCCCGAGAGGACAGTGTTTGTCTGTTTCTGGGCCTTGTCTGGGACGGAGTCCAGTGGAGCCAGACAGAGCGGGGCAGACAGAGGGGACCGGAGTCCAGTGGAGCCAGACAGAGCGGGGCAGACAGAGGGGACCGGAGTCCAGTGGAGCCAGACAGAGCGGGGCAGGACAGAGGGGACCGGAGTCCAGTGGAGCCAGACAGAGCGGGGCAGGACAGAGGGGACCGGAGTCCAGTGGAGCCAGACAGAGCGGGGCAGGACAGAGGTCAGAGGTCAGGCTGTTTCTCACTGCTGCCGAAGCTGCCTGGGGGACCTGCCCTGGCTGAGGCCCCGTGGGCCTGCTAACGGTCATCGAGTTAGATGCCCCAGGTCACGGTGCTCTGCAGGGACACAGCGTCCTCAGGTGGCCAGGCTCCAAGCAGAAGGTGCTGAGAGCGTGAACCTAGGGGTGCCCTCAGCTCGTGGGCCCACAGAACCCCAAAGCAATCTCCTGGAGGGGGGCCCAGGCGTGGGAGCCCGCACGGTCCTCCTGCTCAGTTCTGAGTTCCAAAGCGTTAGCATGATGTTGTTGGCTCAGTTTCCCACGAGAGCAACCCCCGTTCGTGGACAGCTGGGGTGCTGGGGTCCAGACCATGACCTGATACGCACACACCCCATTCTTTGCTCCAAGTCTTTTCTTGCAGGAAGCAGCCCGGGGTGGAGGAAGC